GAAATATTTTGAAAAATTGCATTGGATTTAATTTAAGCAGCAGAAAATGAAAATTACATATGCAAAAATTTCATAAAAATTGCACTTAACTAACTCCATACCTGTTCACTTTAATTCATGTGACTGATTATGATGGTGAATGATATTGAATGAAAATGAATTTCCTGTGCTTTGAATGAAAATGAATGAAAGATTCAGTCATTTCAGATGAATGACTGTGAATGAAAGGATTTCTCACTGCTTTCATTTTTCACCCTATGCTTAATACATTGGGCGAAGTAAGAAATGAAGTCGGATGAAGTGAAATGAAATGAATTTGAAAGAAAATGAGTGAATGTGAATGAAAATCTTCAGTCAGAAATGATTGACTTTTAAATGAAACAAATTTTTGTGAGGAGGTATGATAATTTGCAAAATATTTTGCAAAATTATGTTGCAATGCGAAATTACAATGAATACCCTCATCATCCTACAGTAAAATCTACCTATTATTTTTTTCAATTTCATAGACGATCCAAATTCTTCTCCCGGGGATAGTGAAGGTAATTGACTGACAGTGAGGGGTAAAATACTTGGTCAAAATTTACACTTTTACAGTATTTTGAGACCCATTATTAACCGAATCTACATGGAGAATATGCACAACAATAGTACGAAAATTCACGTTTTATGAAGAAATTAACATTTTATCGCGATCAGAATACTTAATTTTTAGAAAAACATGAATACAATGCATTTTGACAGCGATAAAAAGTTAATTTCTGAAAATCTTGAATTTTGGTAGGACTGTTGTATTGTCCATGTAGATCCTTGTTCCTTTCTAGCTGTATGCAGTGCCCGCGGAAGCCGTGGGGACATGTGAGGACATTAACATTGTAGGATAGGGGAGGGCGGGGTTTATATAAGATGGGCAGATGATGGGAACATCGAATTTCCGTGGGGACATTGCCCCTCTGTCCGCACGCTTCCGCGGCCACTGGCTGCTGTAAAGGCGCCCCGAAATGTACACCCTTGGAAGAATAATGGAGCTCAAAGCACTGTATTTTTATAAAGTATTTTATCCATCCGTATTGCTTATCATGCGTGTTCCTTATCACCCCAATATTTTGTTAATGATAATGATGGTTATCAACCGAGTTTTTAATATCATCTTTTAATTTTTAGAGGTCAACAGAGAGTTAGTAACTCTTGTTACTGGACTGAAAAGGGTCGTTAACACGGCACGACCCGGAATTTATCCGGAAATCCAATAAATTGATCGGGAATCACTTGTCGGATCCGTTAAATTTATTAAATTTATCGAAATTTTTTATTAACATTTAAATCAGTTTGAATTTCAATTGAGCTTCTTATTATAAACTTAATCTAAATTTCTATATGTCAAAAAACTTTACTAAATTGCCAAATTCATTACTATTGAAGAGAAATAAATTTGAGACTTCAATCATGGATTAAATAAGATTCAACAAAGCTACATATTATTTAATTGCATAATTAATAACGATAACAGTTAAGAAGAAATGTTTGGCAACGTTGCTAAAATATTGTATTGTTATATTTATCCTATAAAATGCGTAATTGCATAATAATTGCATAAAAATTACATAAAAATTGCATACAAAATTATTAGCAATTGCATAAAAATGGCAAAATTGCATAATAATTGAACACAAATTGAATGAAAATTGCATACAAATTGCGTAAAAACTGGATAAAAACCGCATTATAAATTGCATAAAAATTAAATACAAATAGAGTCCATACAACTCTCAAGTGTCTCGGTAGTGAGCGCAATAGCTGATTGTACTCCGTGTGTTAATCAAGTGGGGTAAAGCAAAACGGTTCCAGGAAGCTTTGTCTCAACACGTCTCGTCCACTTGATTAACACACGAAGTACAATCAGCTATTGCGCTCACTACCGAGACACTTGAGAGTTGTATGCACTCTAGCATAAAAATTGCACTGAATTTCTAAACAAGAAATGAAGAAGACAGTAACTGGGATCTGTCAACCAACTTCGTAACGATTTTTACATACACACGCATTTCTGACGTTGAACTGATACATTTCCAAATCAAGAAATATTAGCAGCGTGCATCAAATTGCGAATTGAAAAATTTGGAAAATAAATCATAAAATTGAACCAGATTCGAATGGAGTAGAGGCAAAATTGCACCCTTCGTTATCAACAGAAAATCAAAATTGCATAAAAAATTGCATTGAATTTGATTTCCAACCATGACAGAACTCCTAGCACCAACCGCAACCAGGGATCTTTTAACTAATCCTTTTTTGCCTGCATACACATTATTGACGCTGAGCTTATACATTTCATTGTTGAGAAATTTTTAGCAGCATGCATTTAATTAAGTGCACATTACTAAGTTAAGAAAATGGATCGTATCGTAAGTCTTGACCAGATTTGGATGAGGTGTCCTCAAAGAAACAAAATTGTATCATATTTTATCGACAGAAAATTAAAAATTGCATACAAATTGCATTGAACAAACGAAAAAATGTGATCTTTTAGTTGACCAACTTTATAACCCTTTTTCATACGTGCACATTTTTTGACGTCGAACTTGTACATTTCCAATTGAAAAATATTTAGAGGACATTTTAATTTAGAAAATGAACCGTAAAATTTCGACCGTATGTGAATTTCAAATATGTATATGCTTTGTTAAATTTTGAATTGAATGACCCCGATTAAAAATCTTTAACTCAATTTCGAATCAAATTTGGCCTACTAATATATTTTTGGCGTTGCCCTTCATCATTTTCCACACTTTTGAAATATCTGCTTCATTCCAGGACAAAATTTAAAATATTCAATTTTTTACAAAAATCATTCCAGGAAATATTTTCCCTTAAGATGGAACAAATTATCCAGTCTTAGGTAGTGAATTTACAAAAATGTGTCGTTATTTCATAATAATTTCATTATTTCAGACGGAACAAATTATTGTCCACTCAGGATCAGAGCAGTTAACTCAAAAATATGCATTTCTTTGGACTTTTTTTAACCCAAATTTCAAAAACTTTCGTGAAACATTTATTTCCCTGCGTACCAAACATGAAACTTTCTTTTAAGAAGATTGTATTTTTAGCTAGAAATTTCATGTCATTAAAAAGACTTGATTGACGCCCAAAAATTCAACTCTTAAGTGGAATCTTTATCTCAATTTAGCCTATTTTTTATTTATCTAGCAGAAAATCTAAATTGCATAAAAATTTCGTTGAATTTCTACATCATGATTAAATTCCGGCATCCCGTGAAGGCATCTTTTTATCAACTGTAGTACTTGTTTTTAGTAATATACACATTTTTGACGTCGAACTGATACATTTGAAAATCGAGAAATATTTAGTCGCGTGCATCAAATTGGACAATTTCCAAATCTAGGAAATGGAAAATAATGTATTTTCCAAAAATATCGTATACAAAAAACTATTTCCGAAAATATCGTAAAATTGGACCATTTGCGGATTATGTATGTCTCCTTATAAGCTAATTCTAAATACATTGAAAAAAAGTATATTTTTTAAAATTCTGTAAATTAGTTAATGCCAATTTCAACGTGGTGAAAATGGCTGAAAATTTTTAACGATTAAATACATTTTTGGCTACTAAATTACCGTATATATTCGCAAATCGAGCGGTGCATGTGCATTTTCGAAGGGACCACTTTTATTTAATATTGATTAATAGTTGATTAATAGATACCAGAATCTTGTCAGAAATTTACACGAACAAAGCATAAATACAGCCAATAAAATCAAAATTCGAAATCAAATAATTACAAATCATTTTTGAGAGCAATATAATTTTTTAGCATAATAAGCCAGACGTTTCCACCCACGTTTAGCAATAAAAAAACCTATATTTCGTGACCTAGTTATTTGATGTCTTTGTCTTGCTAATTTCGAAGACTAATGCTGGGCAGGATGACAAATATTTATTATTTTAATAAAGTGCAATATCAATTATGCATGTATCAATTTCCTCACAATTTTATAAAATGTAAAGTTTTGCCTGTTTCTGTGCAATTTGAACGCCAAAATCCAAGTTGAAGTTGTGCAGATTTTATTTAATTCGTAAACGGTGGTGGCGCTGATTGGACCACCAACTTTGAATTTTCATCCAGCACTGTTTTTTCGAAATTTTTAATTTCCTAAAACTTTGTGCTCTTTATAAATTTAAAATTTAAATTCTGGAAGCTGAAGCATGACGTCGAAAAAGGCTGTTCAATCCGTCCCTGGACCTTCTCACGTTACCGGAAATACCAGCCATCGAATCCTGGCCGACACCACCTCAACGATAACCTCAACGATAAGCACCGAAGTCATTTCGCCTACTGATCCGCAGGAGGAGGAAGAGTTCGAGCTGTATTTGAGCAGTGACGAGGATGGGGACGAGGTCGACGCCGAGAAGGAGAAAATGGTGAGGAATTATGTGACCTAGACCGTGTAATGATTTGGTGATAACTTCTTACCCGGTTGGTATAATACCAAATTGGTATTACCATTGGTATTAGTTTGTTGTTTCTGAGTGAGAAATTCTCATTCTCAAGATTACTGGACGGTAATGTCCGTTATTTATTACCGTGCCGGTAGAGTCATACTTGTACCGGTAATGGTTTAATACCAGGTTTCAATAAAATCCTGTGTAACAATTATAGTCCGTCTCGCCCTCTACATCAATTATACACTTGTAGTCACACCATCTCACGCCGTGGGTCGCTTTATTTAGAGAGGCAAAACGTTTTCGTCCCTCCTTCTGCCAGCATGCTGGTGCACACTTCATTGCATCACAAAAGCTCCGTGGGTCCACACACTCGCTTTTGTGCTCCTCATCACAATAAAAAAATTTCGCAAAACTTTTAATTGTTTTCAAGATTTGGTATCAATTTTTATAACTATTAGATTTATAAATTTGATTAACATATTTCACGATTTAATTGTGGTATACTTTTTACACAATTTGTGAAATTTTAGAAATGCCGGACTCTTCAGATTCGTCATCGGCCAGATCATCACGTCATAAGGACAAGAAACGAAGCAGGAGAGACCGAAAACTTCGCCGACTGCAGAAACAGGTCGACAAGTTGGTCCGCCGAGAAAGGAAAGGAAACGGTCTCCCTCATCATCGTCTGATGACTCATCCCAGACAAGTAAGCGCTCCAGGTCTAGACGACCGTCGCCATTTTTAGACCCTGGAAGCCAAGTCCCATCTAATGGGCAATCTAAAGTCCCATCTAATGGGCAACCCAATATCTCATCTAATGAGAATCAACAAAATTCATCCAATGATAACTGTAATATTTTGCCGGCTGGAAGTGGTTCATCCAAGTGTGACACTTATTCCAACCGAGGAAACGGACCAGATGATGATGTCCTTGTCTTAAATGCGCTGGACTCTGAGACAGCAGCCCTTTTAGGTGACTTACCTAAACCTGTGGCTAAGATGGGGCCGAGCCTTCATCCCCAAATAACTGAGCGATGGAATGCTATCGCAAAATCTGGACTAAGTAAAGAGGAACGCGACAAGCTCCTCGACAAATATCCTATCCCAGAAGGAATGATTATTGCCGGGGCCAAGATTAACCCCGAATTAACATCGGCTATACCGGATGTCGTTAAAATTAAGGATGACAGCCTTCGCCGTATTCAGGACCATATTGCCACAGCCTCCGCGGCTATTGGCAATGTACTCGGCAGCATCTTGGACGATAAGATGGAAATCACTCGTCATGATCTAATTTCAAAGATAAGTGATGCCGGCAGATACCTCCTCGGCACCCAGTATGCCCTTTCCACATACAGGAGGAAGCAAGTCGCTGCTAACATTAAGGACCCGACTATGACCCGAGTCCTAAATGACTCCGAGGTTTACCCTTTCTTGTTTGGTACTGATTTATCTAATGAAATCAAAAGGGTTAAGTCATTAACTAAGGTTGGTAATGAGATTGCTCATAAACCTGGTTCTGACAATTCAAAACAAGATCAACCCAAGGACAACAAGAAGTCTGGTCACCACCGCACGGCTTCTTTAAACTCTTCACGACCGCTCCCGAGCTCGGGGTATCGAACCACCAGGAAGAGCAATCGGAGCGGTCCTCGTCGCCATCATTAACTCTTCAGGTGAGTTCACATGCTGGGCGATTGAAACAATTCTACCACGAATGGTTGACACTCCCAAGCGTGGGAAAGAAAGTATTGTCCATCATAAATGGATACAAATTACCTTTTAAGACCATTCCCAATCCAACATTCCTTTCTAATAAGGAAGTTTCCATTCAGGAGACGAATGATATTGACACTTCTATTCGCGAACTAATCCAATTAGGCGCAATAGAGAGATGCAATAACGATCCTAACCAATTTGTATCTCCAATATTTTTGGTTCCTAAACCAGACGGCTCGAAGAGATTTATCATTAATTTGAAACATCTTAATGAGTACCTACAATACTCCAAGTTCAAGATGGAGGATCTTAGGTCTGCAATTCGTTTAATGGAAAACGACTGCTACATGACCACCATTGATCTTAAAAACGCATATTATCTAATAAGCGTATCAAGATCTGATCGTAAATTCTTACGATTTAGTTGGAAAGGCGAATTATACCAATTCAATTGCCTTTGTTTTGGCTTAAGTTCAGCTCCTAGAACTTTTACCAAGATTTTACGACCAGTCATGCGTTATCTCCGCATTTCTGGCATAAGGAATGTCATCTACTTGGATGACCTCCTTACGATTGGAAACAGTTACGAAAACTGCTTGTTATCCACTTCCACCACAATCAGGATTTTAGAAAAGCTAGGATTTATCATTAATTATGATAAATCCAAGTTGATCCCGTCAAAATCTCAAAGATTTTTGGGATTTATTCTCAACTCTTCCAACATGACTGTTGAATTGCCGAGGGAAAAAGCCATGCATACAATTCATCTTTGTAAGAGGCTTCTTGACAAAAATACTTGCACAGTTCAACAACTAGCAGAATTTACAGGCACACTTGTTGCCTGTTTCCCTGCAATAAGATATGGTCCTTTGTACACCAAACTATTTGAGAGTACAAAATTCCTAACTCTGCTTCAGATGGGAACTGATTGCAAATCGCAAGTTATATTAAACAAATACATCCACGAGGATGTTAAATGGTGGTTAACCTCATTAACCAATCCAATCTCTCCAATCAGAACGGATGTAATAAACTATGAGTATATTACTGATGCGTCATTATCTGGTTGGGGAGCACATTGCAATGGAGTTACAATTAGCGGCTTATGGGACGGAGATGACAAGAAGTTGTCCATAAATTACCTCGAGCTTAAAGCTGCATGGTATGGACTTCGCAGTTTTGGCAAGTCCTGGTCTAATGGCACTATCTTGCTAAGAATAGACAATACCACCGCATTGAGTAATATAAATAAAATGGGTAGTATTCAGTTTCCCCATTTTATGAAGCTCACAAGATTAATTTGGAATTTCTGTGAGTCAAGAAATCTTTGGCTTGTTGCGTCATATATCCGCTCCAAGGACAATGACATCGCAGATTTCTACTCCAGGGTCACTCAAACTGACACTGAATGGAGTCTGTCATCTAAAGCATTTAATAAGATGACCACTAAGTTTGGATCACCCAGCATTGATCTTTTTGCAACTCTTCAGAATGCAAAATGTTCAATTTATGTTTCCTGGAAACCTGACCCTTTCGCATACAATATTGATGCTTTTACTTTAAGTTGGACCGATTTAAATTTTTACGCATTTCCTCCCTTCAGTATGATACTACGGGTTTTGCGAAAAATTAAGACAGACCAAGCCACTGGCTTAGTCGTCGTTCCCCATTGGGAGTGTCAACCTTGGTTTCCACTATTCAAATCCATGCTGGTCCTAGAACCAATATTATTTGAACCTAACAAATTTCTTTTACAATTTGGTAGTTCTCCCCATCCTTTGTGCCATTCACTTTCACTGATGGCAGGAGTCTTGTCAGGGAAGCGCTCAAGTCACGAGGACTCGAGGATTCTGCTGACACCATCATCAACTCACTCTCAAATTCGACCTGGAAACAATACGAATCTTCCCTCAGATGTTGGTCAAAATTTACCAATCAACGACAACTTTCCATCTTTATAACTTCTCCAGAAGTTGTGGCTTCCTTTCTAACTGAAATGCTCAAATCCGTCGGTTATAGTTCAATTAACACGGCGCGCTCAGCCCTATCCTTATTAGCTACTAACTCAGAGTTTGAAAACATTGGGTCTAACCCAGTAGTAAAACGAGTTATTAAGGGAGTAGCCAAGATGAAACCACCAAAACCAAGGTACGATGTAATCTAGGACGCAACCACCGTGACTGAATATCTGAAAACTCTTTGGCCCCATGACCAACTATACATCTCGGCCTTGACTGAGAAATGCGTCACCTTGCTTGCCCTGTGTACCGCACAACGTTGTCAAACTTTATCCAAGATAAAGATTTCCGAAGTGAAGTTTGGTCACAATCAAATCGACATTTTTGTGACTGATCAAGTTAAAACTTCGGGACCAGGAAAATTTCAACCGCATTTGATACTACCTAAATTTGAAGATCATGAATATTGGTGTATTATGACTTGTGTAAGAGATTACATCTCTCGTACTCAAGAGATACGAACTGGCGATGAATTATTCGTGGGCTTATCAAAACCACACCGACCTGTTGGATCTCAAACCATAGGACGTTGGATTAAGAACACGCTATCTAATAGTGGCGTTGATGTGACCCTTTTCAAGGCTCACAGTGTCCGTCATGCTTCAACCTCGAAGGCATTAAGCAACGGAACCAATATTGAGGAAATTCGTTCGTCTGCTGGATGGACACCTACGTCATCAACTTTTGCAAAGTTCTATAACAGACCAATTATTACTGACAATAATTTTGCTAAATCTGTTTTCAATATAAATTGATTCATTTGAAACTTATAGTCTCCTTAGACTAAGTAAATAAAATCTCGCATTTTTCGAGATTCTCTGAACAACTACAAGTGTATAATTGATGTAGAGGGCGAGACGGACTATAATTACTAAATTAAACGAACCTGTGAGGTTCGATTGTAATTATGGTCCGTCTCGCCCGAATACATCACTCCCACCCAACCCTCCCTGGAGTGATGTATTCTTTTTCGAAAAATGCCTCTCAACTAATGAAGTGTGCACCAGCATGCTGGCAGAAGGAGGGACGAAAACGTTTTGCCTCTCTAAATAAAGCGACCCACGGCGTGAGATGGTGTGACTACAAGTGTATAATTGATGTATTCGGGCGAGACGGACCATAATTACAATCGAACTTCACAGGTTCGTTTAATTTAGTAATTTTATAGCTACATTATATTTATTGTGAGGACGGAGTCTATGGGCGACCCCATCCTCATCAATCCCCTCCCTCTCCCCCTACTTGGTCTCGGGAGCATGGCCAGACCACTACTCCGGAGAACCAAGCGTCTCCGTCGCCATTGCTCTCATCCTGGCTTCCACGCCGTCTTCTCCTCAGTCCCGCACCACCTCGACTCGACTACGCATCCCACTTGTAGTCGATGCGCGACTCACTTCCAAACTTCCCAAAGTTTCTGGGAAGATAATTCTTTGTCAATCTCTCTCTCTCTCTTGTAAATTCACACACACACCTAAAGTACACACACACCCACTTAATAACTATATAAATTTCTATAACAAATTAGTAGTGTTACACACTTACCTGTTTAATAAATTAGTGTTGTTAGTAAAGAAACTAAATTGTGCAGTAAGGAACATTATTGGGTGTCATGGAATCTTCACAAGTTATATTCCTCCATATTGTGCACGTGCGCAAAAACTTGGACAGTTAATACGCATTACGCCCCATATTGTACATCACGGAGTGTTCTACAAAAAGTGTCGCAGTAGAACCACTCCCCCATCCCCCCTTTTTGTGGTGGAGACCCCACCACGGGCCCAAGCAAAGCCAGAGAGGTCCCCTATCCGACTGTAAGGGTGTTCTCACCGTGGGACTTCGGTAACGACCCCCACCACACCCCAAAAGTGGACCATTCTGCCCACTTCCTCTTAATCATCATCCGGCCCTCTCTCAGCAGCATCATCAATTCATCCCCTCATCCCTAAAATAATAAGAAGGACTTGATTAAGGGAATCGTGGGATCCCCGGAGGTTCCTGTACGAGGCATCCGCCCCCGTCCCCCAGAGGCATAATCCCCCCGAGGACCCCGACCCTTAACAACAATCCCTTCATTATTGTGGTCCTGTTATTTATTATCATTTTTCTAGAAAATGGCTGCCACACTGAGGAAAGTTCGACGTTGGCTTGAAATAAAGAGAAAATTATTTGTACCAAATACCACAGCGGTGAGATTTTATATATACTGTTTACATGTTCCGTATTTTTTAAGCTGAGCTTGACTAATTTTTGGCTGGTTATCATTTTGTATAGATTTCGGAAGAGTCGTCTCGGATCGGCCGCTTCTTAAAGACCCTTGATAACGCCTTGGACGACGTTATCTACGTTCTGGACGATAAGAGACGTCGAGGATTCCCCATCGAGAAGGAGGCGCAACGGAATAAACTAGGAAAACCAGCAGCAGCAGCACCAACAGGGACGGAAATAATGCTTGATTTGGACGAGGAAGGGTCGACAATACCAGAACCTCCAGTGACACCAAGGCCGCTAAGTCCACCACCACCGCCCGTCACTCCGCCAAGGTCAGCCTCAGACCAATTTGCAAACCGGAAAAAATCCAGCCCGAATCCGAGACAAATTAACGCCTCCAAATCCACCTGTGGAAGAAAGATGGTAACCTTCTCTTTAACAAATTTAATTCTAAGATTTGGAATATTTAATATTTCGAGTATTTATTAGCATCGAACTTGACGATTCATCACCAAAGGTGTCAAATTTTTAATCAAATCTCCTCCGCTCTGGGAATTTATTTTAAAATTCTGGACGGCAAATTTGTAGTCAATAAGTAAGTTGATTAATGCAATGATAGTGAGTTTTTTGAGCCAGTTGCGACGAGTTCCATTTTTTCTGAAGGCTTCTTAAACTTGAGATCTCCTCCTTCAAAAAGGGTCAAAATCTGGAGTGCATATTTTTACAAAATTGGAAACGAGTTACTCTACAAATTTGTCGTCCAGAATTTTAAAATAAATTCCCAGAGCCGAGAATGATTAAAATTGTGCTAATCTTATTTAAGATAAGTCATCTAGTGTTGCGTTAAATTATTTACTACAAATAACAAAGTTTACATACGAATCTAATTAATCTAATTCATATCTAAAGCTAATTAATCAAGATAAACTTAAGGATTACATTACGTAGCATACATATGTAATCTCTACCTAATTATTATCCATCAACTAATATATATTCAATCCTATTATGTCCATTTCCAGAATCCTAAAACCAACCGGTGCCACATTTGTCAAAAAGCGTTCCCCTCCCCGACAACCCTGACCCAGCACCTTAATTTCACTCATCTCAACCGAGAAGAGAAGACCGTGGCGAAGCAGAGTTCGAGAATCGAGTGCTACTTTTGCGAGAAGAGATTCTCCACGGAATCTTGCTACTATTACCACCTTGTCACCCACACGAAGGAAAAAGCATTTCGGTGCGACCAGTGTGAAAAACTATTCGCTCATAAGAATAGCTTAACACTGCACCAGCGCCGCCACAGCGACAACCCGACTCCCTTCAAGTGTGCGGAATGTGAAAAAACTTTTGCCCTAAAAGCGACTCTGCTCATCCACATACAAGCAATTCACGACAAGCTGCAGGACGTCGTCAAATGCCCCAGTGCCCCAAGAAGTTCGGCAGCAAAGGGGGCTTGAAGAAACATCGGGACGCCGTTCATCTCAAAATTCGGCACCCCTGCCCCCACTGCGATCAGTCATTCACGCAGACAACGAGTCTTGCAGGACATGTGAAGAAGTTTCATCCGGCATAATGCAATCAATATACTTCTCGACTGACCCTCGACTTAAAATTTTGAAGGTCTCCCAGCGTATGCGATCCGATTTTGTATCCATCGATGGCAAATTTAATTAGGATGAAATTTGCGAAAGACACGATCTTCCACGTTTGGCAGAGATGTTTGCATCCCAGACGCGCAGTAAATTTAGAAAGTTTAACCTTTGTCAACATTTGGGCGCGTTTTCTCCTCTTGGGATGCAAATATCTCGGCAAAACGTGCCATTGGGAGATCGTGTCTTTTGAAAATTTCGTACTAATCAAATTTGGGACCAATTGACAGTGTTTTTCTGATTTTGACTCTAATTTTGACTAAATTAGTGTCAAATCGATTATAAATTTAGTTGATTTGGAATTTGCGATCCCCCAATGGGCACGTTTGACAGAGATGTTTGCATCCAAAGAGGAGATAACGCGCAGTAAATTTAGAAAGTTTAAAATTTGTCAACTTTTGGGCGCGTTTTCTCCTCTTGGGATGCAAATATCCCTGCCAAACGTGCCCATTGGGAGATCGCGTCTTTCGCAAATTTCATACTAACTAAATTTATGATCGTTTCACACTACTAGTTTGTTCAAAAACCGGAGATCATACGCTGGGAGACCCCCATTGTTAGTTTTCAACTGTTTTAAATTAGATGAATAATTTACAGATTTTACGGTGAAGTGCATTATTTTCACGGAAATTGTATAACAATTCCCAATAATAAAACTTGTAAGCATAACACAGTTGTTGATAACGGGTAATTTTGATTGTTATTTAGTAAAGGTTTCTCTCGCAATTTCTTTTCATTTTCATAAACTTTAATTCTTGACACAAGGCGATGACGTGCTTTTGATGCAGTGGGCAATACTTTTTTCATGAAATTTCATTTTTAATTTATCTTCTTTCGAACTTTCTCCGCTGCAAGGAGACCTTTCTCAAGGGGGACGCCTCAATCTGGGGGGCCTGGTAGTCAGGTTGATCGTGTTTGGGCAAGATGGATAAATAGTTATCGAGCATTTTTCATAATTTGAACATTTTTGTGATTAATTAATTTGCCTTGATTGTCACGATTTAAAAAAATCATTATCAGTCCGTGTTTTTCCTTAATTCTGCAATCTCATCATCCTGAAAAGATAAGTGTCCTAATCTTTCTAAGATTAGGACACTTATGAATTATATACGTATTTCTTGCTCAGTATTTTAATTTTAAACGTGGTTATCATTAAAGAAAATCTTTTCAGGATGATGAGATTGCAGAATTAAGGAAAAACACGGACTGATAATGATTTTTTTAAATCGTGTCAATCAAGGCAAATTAATTATTACTAACAATATCTGTACAGCTACATATATTTCAAAAATATAAATACAAATAATCTTGAAAGCAATAAAAATCAATTCGTATTAAGGATAAAGCGGATATGAGAAGCAGTACAAATTTATTAAGACAGTTTTTTAGTATGTGACAAGGTCGTTTGCTCATTTTGTTATCGAAAATGCTTAATTTTTTAAGTGAAATCCATGAATTTGTAGTGAAATCTATACTTTGAAGTACAAATTCGTATGCACAAACTAGTTATTTGATGTCTTGCTAATTTCGAAGACCTATGCAGGCCACCAAACATGACCAATGTTAGTTTAACAAAGTGCAATATTAATTATGCATACAAATCAATTTCAAATCAATAAATTTATCAATTTCATCATAATTTTAAAAAATGTAAAGTTGTGCCTTTTTCTGTGCAATTTAAACGCCAAATTCAAAGTTGCAGTCGTGCAGATTTTATTTAACTCTTGATTGGTGATGGCGCTGGCATCACAGCTTTTTGGACCACGAATTTTGATTTTTCGCATTTTCATCTCATTCAATCAAACTTTTTTCGCAAATCATTTCCTAAAATTTCTGCTCCTTATTCATTTGAAATTTAAATTTCGGAAGCAGAATGATACTGTCAAAGGCCGCTCAATCCATCCCTGGACCTTCTAACGTCGCCGGAAATACCAGCCAGCGGGTCATCGCTGCCACCATCACGGCGACCCCATTGACCCCAAGGATAAAAACCGAATTTTTTTCACCACAACCGCAGGGGGAACAGTTTGAGGTGTATTTAAGCAGTGACGACGAGGATGAGGAAGAAGTCGAGGTCGAGGAGAACAAAATGGTAAGGAAATGTGAATTTGACGTGGTCCCGAATAATTTTCTAATCAATTGTGACCTGTTGTTATCTAGAAAGTGGCCGACACACTAATGCAAATTTTACGCTGGGTCAAAATTAAGGAAAAATCCTTCAAGCCAAACAACACAGCGGCGCCGGTGAGAATGTTCGGTCAAATTTCATCAAATTTGACTACATATTTTTAAGTTTTATTTGTAAAATCATCATTTTGTGCAGATTTCCAACGAGAGATATCCACCTTCGGCTCGGGTTGCCCGCAACTTGCAAAAACTTGTCGTCGCGTTGGAGGACGTTCTCGACGTTCTGGACGATAAGAGACGTCGAGGATTTCCCCTCTACGAGATAAGGAGGGCGCAGAGGAATAAACTATGGAGAGCAGCAGCAATATGGCCGGAAATGATGCTTGACTTCGTTCTTGACGAGGAAAGGTCGACAATTCCGCCAGCCACAGCAAAACCAACACGGCAAACCCTTCCCGTCACTCCGCCAGCAACAACAATGCCGAGAATAATGCTTGACTTTGTGCCAGTCGAGGAAATGTCGACAATTCCGCCAGCTACGCCAAGACCGTCAACTCCACCACCACTGCCCGTTAATCCGCCAGCAACAATAAGGCCGGAAATGATGCTTGACATCGTGCCAGTCGAGGAATGGTCGACAATTCCGCCAGCCACGCCAAGACCGTCAGCTCCACCACCACCACAGCCTACCAATCCGTCAAGGGCAGCATCAAGCCAATTCGCAAACCGGAGAAAATCCAGCCGGACTACGAGACCAATTCTGAAATTAAACGTCTCCACCGGACCACTCAAGTCCACCTCGGGCAGAAAGAAGGTAACCTTCTCTGACAAATTTAATTCTTTCACTGGATGAAGATCCCTCTCCGATTTTAACCAAATTAGTGGCAATCGATTAAAAATTTAAGCGGTATGAAATTTGCTAATTACACCGTTTGCATCCGAAGAGGAGAAAACGCGCAGTAAACTTGGAAAGTGTAAAATTTTTCAACTTTTTCAGCTTTCTCCTCTTCGTATGCAAATATCTCTGTCAAAACGTGTCCATTGGGAGATCGTATCTTTCGCTAATTTCATCCTAATTAAGTTTGTCATCGATTGACACTAATTTGCTCAAAATCGGGGAGCACGCTGGATAACTTCCATTCTAAACTTTGGAATATTTAACAAGTTATATTTACTATTCCATAAACAACGTAACATCTAGATTACGAGTTGTGACTAATTAACCAAGTTCAGGATTGAAGACTTAATATTAATTACTGACTAATTATATCTTCTTTGTCCATCCAGACTCGTAAAACCAGACGCCCCCACCGCTGCCACATTTGTCGAAAAGATTTCCCCGACAAGTCAGCCCTGACCCATCACCGGTTCACTCATCTCACCGAAGAAGAAAAGACCGTGGCGAGGCAGGCTTGGAGAATCGAGTGCTTCTTTTGCCAGAAGAGATTCTCCGCGGAATCTTGCTACTATTACCACCTTGTCACCCACACGAAAGAGAAGGCATTTCGCTGTGACCAGTGTGGCAAACTCTTCGCTCAAAATAATTGCCTAGCACGGCACCAGCGCAGCCACAGCGACAACCCGAAACCCTTCAGGTGCGCGAAGTGTGGGAAAACTTTTAGTGAAAAGTGGTATCTGGCCAGACACAAAAAAACTGTTCACGAGAAGCTGAAAGACATCGACTGTTCCCGGTGCCCCAAGAAGTTTACCACCAAGGGTAACATGGCCTATCATCTGAACAGCGTTCATCTGAAAATTGCGCACCTCTGCCCCCACTGCGATCAGTCATTCACGAAGAAAGCGAGTCTTCAAGGACACGTGAAGAAGTTTCATCCGGCATAATCCAATCCTTCTCGACTGACACCCGATCCAGAGTACGACTTACAGTTTTGAAGGTCTCCCAGCGTATGGGATCCGATTTTGAGCAAATTTGTATCCATCAATGCCAAATTTAATTAATATGAAATTGACGCTATCTCCCAAATGGACACGTTTGGCAGAGATGTTTGCATCCGAAGAGGAGAAAACGCACAGTAAATTTAGAAAGTTTAAAATTTTTCAACTTATCTCTGCCAAACGTGGCCATTGGGAGACCGTGTCTTTCGAAAATTTCATGTTAATTACATTTATGATCGATTGAGACTAGTTTACTCAAAAATCGGAGATCATACGCTGGGAGACCCCCAGTTTTCAACTGTTTTATTAAATTAGATGAATAATTTACTGATTTTACGGTGTAATGAAAGGCATTCTTTTCACAGAAATTGTATAATAATTGTCAATAATAAAACTTGTAAGCATATCAGTTTTACTGTAGTAGTAACAAATGTTGATAATAAATATCATCTTTCCTTGTTTTTTTATATAATTTTGTAATTGTTTCCCTAAATTTTCACAGTTTACAAAGTTGACGTGAATGTGCCCAACTTGCGTGCATGAAAAGGAGTGAAAGGGGATGATTTCCAAAGTTATACAGAAACCTGAAAATTGTGCAAAAATTAAATTTACAATTCGCATCAATCCATTGTTAATTATAGTTAATCATTAATTCCTTAATTTTGTAATCCAAACATGCAAACACATTCATACCTGTTCAAAAATTCAGTTTTCATTCAAAGTTCAGTAATCCCGATTTCATATTGAGTCATTTTCTTTCAAATTCATTTCATTTCACTTCATCGGACTTCATTTCTTACTTCGCCCCATGTATTAAGCATAGGGTGAAAAATGAAATGAGTCAGAAATCCTTTTATTCACAGTCATTCATCTGAAATGACGAAATCATTTTCATTCAAATAACAGTAGTTTCATTTTCATTCACTATACCATCACTCACCATCATAATCAGTCAGATGAATGAAAGTGAACAGGTATGAACTATGAACACATTTTGACCGAATTACTAAATTACATTCCCAAATCGAACCAAATTTCACTGCATTTTAGAAGATTAGAATAATACCCAAAAAGCAAATTTCCATAAAATATTATGAATAATATTAATATCTGTTTCTCAGTTTAGTTTTATATTTTACCTGCAAATATATTTTTTGGGCGTCGTCCTCCTTCATTTTCTCCATTCAAAAAATATTTCATTGTATGACTGAATTTTGTTTTGGAGTGAAATTTTAAAAATATTAAATTTCCGATTAAAAAATGTTCCTCGAAATTTTTACATTCTTTCAGACGAAACAAATTGTCCACTCTGAGCAGTGAACTTACAAAAATATGCAGTTTTTTTTTAGACTTTTTTAACCAAAATTTCAAAAAATTTCATATTTCATTTATTCCCCTGTACATGACACTTTCTTTTATAAAGATTGTATATTTATCTACAAATGCAATTTTTGACCGAATTATTACTCCATTTCCAGCCATATTTCACTGTATACATATTAAAATTCACACTTTTTCACTTTTGCACACCTTATAAAATCTCGAATTTATCCAATTTTTCACTTTTAGGGAAAATTGAGACCTGAAATATTGCTCAAGTTCCTAGCCAAATGCGAATATTGTTCAAATCTTAACTATTATTTTACACTTTCAGTAGATTCCTCTCTCTTCTTTTTCCAATGACAAGATCGACTCTTTATTTCACGTTATTCATAAAACGAAACAAAGTTCACATGATCGATATTGTTTTCCACTTTTGTAATTAACAATTAACCACTTAGCAATAGTAAAACTAGCCGAGCTGCTAAATGATGTGAGGCAAGATGAGACTTAGGAATTGGGTTACGATTATTATCAAAATGTAAACGTATACGCGACTCTACCGCCGTGGTTATGAATTTGTCGCTAACTGGTTATAAATTTATTAACTCTGGTGACAATTCAATACCAAGTCGGTGAAAATTTATAATTAGACGGTGACAATTGTAACCACTCTGAGCACTTAACTCACAAAAATATGAAGTTTTTTGGACTTTTTTTTAACTCAAATTTTAAAAACGTTTTTACAAACATAAACATTTCTGACGTCGCCCTGATACATTTCCAAATTGCGAAATATTTCGCAACGTGCATCAAATCGATCGGTTTCAAAAGTTGTTATTTTGCATTCACTATCCACCCAATTTACCCTCAAAATCGTACCCGCATCGCCAAAAATTGTACATTAAAGTTTAGAAAAATTGGTGATAAATCTGGCAATAAATGTTTCAGATTCGTAAATGTGTCCTCCTGCCGATAAGCAAAATTGCATTCTATTTTATCCAGCGGAAACTCAAAATAGCAGAAAATGAACTTGCAAATTATGATTAAATTTGGCATTAAAGATATCTTTAAAACCTTTCTTTACAAACATATACGTTTATGACACACTTCCAAATTGTGAAATCCTTCGCAACAAATTGGTCAAATTGTACAGTAAAGTTTAGAAAATGGATCATAAAACTGGACCAGATTCGGATGCGGTGTTCTGCGCAGAAAAAAAAATTGCGCTTTAAGTTATCCCGTAGAAAATGAAAATTGTATAAAAATAAATAGGGTCAAGCTTCAAATTTATTCTATGGAATCTGGCCTGCCTATTTTTAGCTCAATTAGTTTATTTATCTAGCAGAAAATAAAAATTGCAAATAAATTGCGTTGAACTTGCAAATCAAGATTAAAGTCAGGCAATCTGAGGACAGTATCTTTTAGTCAACTTTAAACCTTTTTTTTACAACGATACACATTTTTGACGTCGAACTGACACATTTCCAAATTGAGAAATATTTAGCAGCGTGCATCAAATTTTAAATTAAAAAGTTTAGAAAATGCATTGTAAAACCCGAGGAAGGGTCCTCGCCAGAAATAAAATGGCATCCCATTTTATCCAGTGTGTGGCTGCCGTTTTGCTATTTCTTAAAAGCTTTTTGCCTTTTTGATGTATTTTTGCCTCGTTAAAGCCTTTTTGTGTTTTTGATTCCTTTTTGCATTCGTGTTTTTTTATTCTTTCTTACCGTTTGATGGTTTTTTCCTCGATTTTTGACTATTGCACCTACAACGTATTAAAAAAATTATAGAGTATGTTTAATATTTTTAAAATTGTATTGAAGGATTCTGGCTTTCATCGATATTTTAAATTAACAAATTTAGATATTTTCATGGTAGTTTTTGCATCGTCGTCAGTTTAATTAATCTCATTTTGGGGTAAGGGGCATAGATATTTGGAAAAAATGTGAATAGCGCAAGGAATAATTTTCACTTTATAAAATTTCATCTCAGTATTTGAGTCTTTGAATATTTGAGTATTTGAATCTCGTAAAATGGCAAAAAGGCACTGCCTGCCTTTTTGCTGTACGCACACTGATTTTATTCAACAGAAAGTCAAAATCCCATAAAAAAATAGCATTGTTCCTCTAAATCAAAACAAATTCGAACAGACATCTTATAATTAATTATATCTCCATTTTTTCATACAAATGCATTTTGACGTCGAACTCATATTATGAAATCGAGAAAAATTTTACAGCGTGCAGCAAATTGGACATTTAAAAGTTTAGAAAATACATCGTAAAACTGGACCAGATCCTGATGCGGTGTCCTCCCAGAAGTAAAATTGCATTCTATTTTATCCTGCAGAAAATTAAAATTACATACAAATAGCATTTAAAAATAACATTAAGCAAATTCAGAAATTCAGATGCGGTTGTCCTCCAAGAAATCAAATTATTGTATTTTACCGACAGAAAGTTAAAATTGCATACAAATTTCACAAAGATTTTGCATACAAATTGTATAAAAATTGCATAAAAATTGCAATTGAATTTCTACGACTTGATTGATAGAGACAAATATGCTACCTATGTATTAACTAATGATTTAACCTTTTTTACATACGTGCACATGTTCGACGTCGAACTGATATATTTCAAAATCTATCTAGTAACATTTAGGAGCGTGGACCTAAGTCAACATTCTAATTGGAGATTTTGCGAGGCCGAAGGCCGAAGCAAAATCGGAATTTTATGATATCTTCCGGAACCGGAAGACATCACGGAGTGATACAGTAGGTTCCGTTCAGGAGCCGGAGACATCTGCCTGATTTAAAATAAACTAAACATACCTCATGCACCACACGTACCACAAATCTCCTCACAGTTTTCAAAAGCCGAATCAACTTGTAATTTACTGGGGGTGGGTTGGAGGGTCCGTGATGTCTTCCGGTTCCGGAAGATATCATAAAATTCCGATTTTGCTTCGGCCTTCGGCCTCGCAAAATCTCCAATTTCATCTCATCTTCCTCCACCGTCAACATCACGGAGTGATACAGTAGACTTTTAAAACAAAGTTGATGAGGAAATAATTACATAAGAAATCATTAAGGAGTATGCATGACATGCTAGTTAGTGCACATTTATTAATATCAATGTCATAAGGATTCATATAAATACAAAATGTTATTTTCTCATTTCTAGCACTTTCTCAGAAAAATCATTTACACTAATAATAGGCCTATTGTAAAATTTTGCAAAAGTTTTAGAACCTGGTTTCCAACCTGCTCTACTAAAAATAGTATCAATATTTACACCTGCCACAGCGGCCTTTGAAGTAGAAGCATGTCTATAACTATGAGCATGGAAAATCTTGGTATCAATACCTGCTATTTCTAGTACATTTACTAACCATCTACTTATCGTCTGAGAACAAACACGTTTGTGAGGTTTTGCATAACTAACAAATAATTTTGATTCATTACTCCTAAGCATTTCAGTTAATTTAACATATTTTCTTAAAGTATATACAGGACATAAATTTGTATCATGGAAGGGTGGTAATATTAAAATAGGATTACTATTTGTTACATTAGTTGTCTTTAGCCTATCTGATATTTTAATTTGTATACTATCATCCCATACAATATTCGTAATTTCTATTGAACTTAAAGTTTGCACTCTTTGCCCTGTAGCTAGTGCCAATAATGAAACTAATTTCAATGATAATTGTTTTAAATTACATTCATCTGTGGACCACGACGACATTAGTTTTAAAACTTTGTCAGGGTCCCAAGTAATATGATATCTTGGGGCTGGAGGTCTCAATCTGCCAACTCCCTTCATAAAGTTAACAACTAGTCTATGTACACCCAATGGAGCCCCATCAAAATTCCCTAACATAGTTGACAAAGTGGATCTGGCAGTGTTAATTACTGAATAGCTAAGATTTTGATTATACAAATATGTAAGAAAACAAAGCACATCATTAACATTTCCATTCCACATTGAATAATTTTTTAACCTACAAAAATTTTCCCATTTCTTTAAAACTGATTCATACTGTGCCCATGTTCCCTTTGATTTCGAAGCTTCCATAATTTTTACTGTGTCTTCTGGTAAATTTAATCTGTCGAGGGCTTTCCAGATAAAACTGCGGCCATTAGTTTGAGCTTGTTGTTGATCATGTATGAATTCCTGGAGTAGGGATCAAACAATAAATTTTTGTTAGGACCAAGCTCAACCACTTGCGATTTTGCTAATTTACTGAATAGTGGAAACCAAGCCTGAGTGGACCACATCGGCGCAACTACGATACCTTCACACTTATCGTGTGTAATTTTATTTATCACACGACCAACCAAGTTAAAAGGAGGAAATGCATAAAATCCATCCTGCCATTCATGTGTAAACGCGTCAACACCTACAGAATGTGGGTCAGGTTTCCAAGAATAAAATGCATTGCATTGCATTGTTTGATAGGAAGCAAATAGATCAATATTTGGATTCCCAAATTCTTTTGAAATTTTGGTAAAGTAATTCGCACCTAACATAAAATCGGACACATCTTTCTCAGCCCTTGACAACTGATCGGCTATAAAATTATCTTTCGTATTTAGCCATGATGCAGAAATAGTGACTCCTTTACTTTCACACCACTGCCATATTAGTTTGGCCGCATTAAAACACTGAGTGGATTTGCATCCACCTTGTCTATTGATGTACGCCATTGCCGTCGAGCTATCTACTCTAATTAAGACCTGAACATTATCCCGATTAACAAACGTTTTTAAAGCTAAGAAAGCTGCCCAGAGTTCAAGAACATTAATATGTAAATCTATGTGTTCATGTGCCCAATTGCCTTTAGCATGAAATTCACCACTATGAGCACCCCAACCTGTTAAAGACGCATCTGAAGTTATAATAATTGTTGGAAATGGTTTTTGTAAATACTGCCAATCTGAATCAAGATTTTTAATCCACCATTCCAAATCTAATCTGGTTTCATACGTGACAACCATTTTTGCAGAATAATCTCCCTTACTATGTATTAAACTTCGAGTCTTATCCATTTCTAGAGATCTTGTATACAAAAACCCGTACCTAGATGCAGGACAAGCAGAAGTAAGTGATCCTGCTAACTCAGCCACTGTCTTAATTTTAATTTTAGTTGATGATAAAACTTCCCTGCATTTAGACACTATGCGTGCTACCTTGTCTGAGGGCAAAACCAATTTCATGCTGACTGAATCAATTACAAAACCTAAGTATTTGACCCTCTGTGATGGAATCAACTGCGACTTTTCCCTATTTATGGTAAAACCAAACTTTTCTAGAAATTCAGAAATAAAACTGAGCTGTTTAACACAGTCCGCGTACGAGGATCCTATAATTAATATATCATCGAGATAATAGACACATAAAATACCCCGAGATCTAAAATTTGAAACTACTGGCTTCAGTAACTTTGTAAATAATAAAGGAGCTGTGCATAGTCCATACGGTACACAATTGTATTGATATAATTTTCCGTTCCATCGGAATTTAAGAAATTTCCTATGATGTAATACTACTGAAACTGAATGATAAGCTTCTTTAAGATCAACTACACACATATATGCCCCTTGAGAAACAAGCTGCGAAGCAGTTTTAATACTTTCCATTTTAAAATGAGGAAGTGAAGGTCAGTTTCTGTGGCGGAAGTCAAAATTTCACTTCCCTCACCAACAGGCATTTCTAACTAACTATTTATATAGTAAAAAACGATTCACTGGAATTATAGACAGTCCGACTTTTTTTTCGCGAAAATTAAATAAGCTCTCGCCCGGCGGGCTTATACACTAGTTTTTTATATATCTAAATATAGTAAATATGTTATTGATTTTTCAATCAACAGGCCTGGAGCGTGTGAAGTTCACAGTGTGAACCATTTGAAGTTTTCATAACGTTATTAAATAGTTTTGAAAATATGTGAGGAATTTCACATATTTGGCTCACACCCAAAAATTCATCAGAATTACAGCCTGCTCCAAATAACCTTATAAAAAATTGACGCATTTTTAATAGTTGAACCATAATTAAACCCTCCTTGTTACAGGATTATTTCTAAGCACCTGCATACATATAAGCATTGCTTTACTGTTAGAATATACCGCGGTCCATACATTTTTGTACTTATATCAGAAAAATAAATTATTACCATTTAATTCCATACAGTACGTCTCAAAACTTTCTTTACTGTCTTACTCGCGTCTCAGGACAAAAATCTAATGCTGCTTATATATAAAAAATAAATAAAAAAATACTATACTTAGAAAGATGAAAACAATTTAATTAATTATTTACATCCATTCAAAGTCCTCAGTAGGACGGCCAACTACGAATAAAGATATAGGAACGTACACGTCACTCCCTTGTTTTATTCCACTTTGTTAATATAATTATTGAATTTAATGACATCCCATCCGGTCCTGTAACACAGCCGCATATGTACAAATGTATTTATGCATCTATGCGTTACACAACACGTCCACGTAATACGTACGTAAATGCAAAACAATTGGACTTAGAGAGGAAGCGAGTCCTATTAAAAGCCCATAAACATCGGGTTTGTCCTCAAACTGTGAAATACGTTCGCATTCATACTTTGTCACCCAACCAGTTGGAACGGTTTTGCTTTGCAGGCTCTACCTATACATAAAGTAAAGTATAATATTGGGGACTCCCATCTTTATTTTTAAAATCGTCTTTTTCGCTCTCTCGAAAAACCCTTTTTTCTCAATTCCGCATGCTATTTCGAAATTTTTCCAATATTTTCGCTTAAAAACAAAATCATGGCTAACATAATTTTATTTTTATTATTTTTCCTTATAGAATTTTGTGGGGTAATGGGACACAACTTTAGTATTTTTTACTGGTCTAGATGAATACTTTGGGGGTACTTGTCCTCCTCGCTGCTGTCGTCCTTATCGTGCAATCCCGTGCCTCCGCCCTGGTTGAAAATGAGGACGGCTTGAGTAGTACTAGAGTAAGTTGAGATGGGGGAATATTTACGTAATTATGGGGGGTGTTTCTACGTAAATCGTGGACAATTTTCTTTGAAGGTGACTTTACTCCTTGATTTTAGGAACATGAAATGTTAACCGATTAGAGATATGTAGAAGTACAAATTATAGTAAAACATGTTGCGTATTTGAATCACCCTACAGGTTACCCGTCGACCAGTGGGTCTAAAGTTGAACAAAATCAATTTTTACAATCAGTTAAATTAACTAAAATATCAATTAAAACTGCATTTGATACGAGGGTTATACAAAATTGGGAAATAAATGGCCACCGCTTAAAATTTTTGACGGGCAGATTAACAATGCGATGGTGTGAAGTGTAACGCTCCGATTTGGTTGAAATTTTAAAATTGTGTGAACCAAGTCAATACAACCAAGGTTTCTTGAGATGGTATAAAGAATTTGCCAAATATTTTAAGTCAATGTTGAAAAATACCATGCAAACCCTACTTTCAAACGGAAACAATACCCATCTTTTGACCTAAAATATTTTTACAAATTCATGAAACGTTGCATGTATTGACTTGGACCACGCAATTTTAAAATTTCACCCAAATCGGAGGGTTACACTTCACACCATCACATTTTAAGTGAGATGAAATATGTCAAGATTAATTTATGTATCTATCTGCAGGAGAAGCGATGCATTGGGAGTGGAGCCTGTTCCTGTTCAAGTGCCATGAACCCCTTTGCTGCCGGAGAGTGTTGCAAAGGATCCTGTTCTCCTGGAAGAAATACATTTAACACTCTAATCCTTTGCTACTGCAAAGACTACTAATGAGATAAATAGGTGCAACATTCGAAAGATGAGGATTACTAAGATTTGACGGTTAAATTAAACAATTATTTTCGAATATTCAACAACTTGGAAAACTAATTCTAAGCAAAATTTTAGTCCAAATAATTTTTAAAATTATAAAGATTTCACGATTAAATTAAAATAAATTGGCGAATTAATATTTTAATGGGGTGCACGAGGGTACATATTTTTTTTGTTTGAAAGAATAATTTTCATGGAATTTGGATAGGAATCACATGTGCAATTTTGTTAATGGGGGCATATGTAAATGCCTTTATTTCAGTAGTATTATACATAATTGAGTGTCTCTTAGCCCCGTCATTTTGAGTTTCCTTGTCATTTTTGGGTTTTGCCCACACTTTTTTCTATTACTGTGTGATTGAATTTGGTACGCATTATTCTTGGTTTTGAGTTGGGAGACTAAAGTTGTATTAAAATAATGCTCCAAAAAATTACTTGATTCTAATTAAATAAAGTGGTTTAGTAAATGTAATTGTCTTTACTAGTTCCAGCTTTGATTTTAATGTCACGAATCACAAGAACCATAAGTCGCAAGAATAGTTTTTAATTCATACATACATCACATTCACACTCGGCAATTTTTTAGTAAGGACTTATCTACGGGTAGTAGGTCTGCTTCCTCTACACTACTTCTAGCATATAATGAGCTAGCATATAATCCCATCTCCCGGCGGGTGAGGGACAATTATAAGATCCAAATGTCTGTAAGAAACGGAAATGACTGAGGTTTAATTTTTAAATTTTGAATTCATTTTGAATTATCGCGCCATTCGAAACTTAACTTTCTCCACTTTCACTTCCGTTGCAGACAAACATTTCCAGCTTATATTAATGCTACTCTTATCCCAATTGACTTATAAATGTCCCGTGGGAACGATTGCAGAAAAATTTAGCTTGGCGCTCAAGCAACATGATGGGAGTTATACTAGTTCATTTCCCTCTGCCGGTAATAATTTTGGCGTACTTTACTACCGCATCCGAGATATTACACGGGACGAGGACATTTACCACGTTAAGCTGTACTTGTTCAATTTCATCACGATCCGCCCATTCCTGCCAGTGGCTTGGACGCTTTCGTGTCTCCCTTCGATAAAGGGACGAGGACTTGCCTAATGTTAAGTATAGTTTCAGTGGCCGGATTTCTTACCTGGTTGGGTGGCACAAGCGTAGGTGGTGTGATGGCCATCCTTTCCGCCATGACGGATAAGGTGATCATGGTATCGTGCATACTTCTCGGTCAGGTTGGAGAAAGTGCGAGAAAGACGTATCATACGGGAAAAGTGGTTATCATCCTGCTCACCTTATGGTTATTTGGAAATTTCCTCCTCATGACTAACCTTTACCAAGGCTCTATTTATTCATGTTTGGCAATCCCAACACCAGAACAGACCCCGAAAGGGGTCTATCACCTCGTCAACTGGAATTTTCCAGTCGTAGTGAAGTACACTGTGTATAATCTTGATGCTGGACGGGACGACTCGCACCTTCTTCTTCCTTGGCTTCCTCCTGTGCAACACGTATCTCTCTCTCGCTCCTGCATATGGATCTCTGCCATCTGGGTCGCGGGTGTGCCAGGGCAAGTAAAGTGTGTCCTAAGGGTTTTTCGCCACGTGAGCCTCGTCCACTCACACCCCCACCTGCGTGCCTAGTGACACCCCCTGCCACACCCGTCCCAGCAACGACAAGCTGAGCCATCAGGCGAAGATGGATTCGCAGGACCCAGTGCACAGGAGGATCAACGCCTTGGAGGGACTCCCCCAGGTAGGTTTTTTGTTTGGCATATCGGGGTGGTGACCGTGGGGAGTGGTTGTCTGAAGGGTGGGGGGGGTCGTGCATGACGGAGGGCGGCATAGTTAGGTCTACGGGGGTCCCATGACCTGATTGTGTTGTGATGGGGGAAGGGGCAAGTGGGGGTGTCGTCGGCCCCGGCTACGGCTTCCATGGGGGACGTGGGCCAGATCCCGCGGTCCGTGGACAGCCCCCGCCCTACAACCTTCAACTGTCTACTTCCGTATGCAGACGCCACCCTCATTTGGATACCACCACCGCCCCACGGAATCAGCCTATGTATCCCTGCCATTCATTTTCAAAATTTCTTTTCAAGTGTCCGAACGAAAAAGGTCTATTTGACTTATATCAGGGCATTTTATAGGTATTTCACTATTCGAGGTGATTTTTATTCCAAATATAGATTAAAAGTCCTTTGAATTATCTTGGGTCAACTTTGCCGTCAGGGAAGGCGTTGCGACATGATGAAAAATCACCCTATTTATTTATTGACTGTACAATTTAGGAAAATGTTATTCTAAAAGTGGTTTTAATACACGGTCCACATAATACTTTGCAGGTTCCTTAACTCATTGGGGGACTTTGATAAATGGGAGGACACCACGATCGGACATTGCAACGACGACCATAAACTGTTTAAAAAAGTTCTCCTTGCAAAGAAGCATCAACTTGCGTGAATTGTTTTCGGCATTTATAGTGCAGTAAGCTCTTCGAACCTAATTAGTAACTTGTAGAGAAATTAGTGCTTCGTCAAACGTCACCAATAACCACTCTGATTCCTTCACAGAAAATTCGAATAATTTTTTTTTTTGTAAACACGGGCGCTATTTTTGTTCCTGCTTTTCGGTCAGCTGATGCACACGAGTTTATCGACCAAGTCGTTTCTTCAAAATCTTAATTTCTATTTTCAATGAACGCTTAGACACCCTAACCTTACGGGAAATTTCCTCTTGGGTCGGTGGATTGTCGTTGGAGGTCAATAGGTCAATTATCCTATACACGGTCGAAATTAACACTTCTTTTGCCTTCTTTCAAGAGGTTGGGGTGACCTTTTAGTCAAAACTTGTCGCTTTTCACCTATATTTTTCAATACTTCATTGATTGTAGATTTCGAAACTGTTTTCCCTTCACTTTTATGATGTTTACTTATTCGACTTTACGAGTATTTAAGTTTGGAAAGACTTATGAATCTTTATGACCCTTTGTTATTCTAATTTTATTCAGACTCTTTTGTTTGAGAATTATTTTCTGTTCGAATTAATACTGTTTTTAAAAAGGCTAATTTTGGAGATTGTAGGATAGTTGATTTCACTTACCAACAATTAGAATTTAAATTTATTATATAAAGAGAAGCACGCACGCAGTGTGACAGATATCAAATTTTTATAAGTGGGGGAGGAAGGTCAAACACAGGATGATTGTTGCCATGCATGCATACAAACAGTGCAGGATAATTACTTTAACGCCTATACATATCTGCATAAATTGGTCACCTTTTATTTTTCAGGTTTTATTCACAACTTTATTGTAAAGAATTACATTAAGTAATTCTTTCAAGTAGAATGGACGTACATAATTTACTCACATTCGACTCGAATTGACTATTACATTACAAAAACGTCAGTTCCTTTCACAAAAAGTGGAAGGAGGCTGTCTCCTTCCGCGTTATCTGTCTCATCCTGCTCCAGCTGTCCGGTGGAAATCATGGATCGGACTACTCCGGGCTTGGAGTACGTACTCCGGCCTACGGAGGCCGGAGTACGCGACTTTTTCCAGAGGCCGGAGTACGCGGAGGCCGGAGTACGCGTGAGAGGCCGGATGCCGGAGTACGCAAAATATCCTATCTATGGTGGAAATACTTCCTACAGGCCAGTTGTCAGGATGCGGTTTGAAATTCAGTACATGACTTCCGTAAATGCGATCACCACTTAAAAAAAACTATGTATATATTCATTCCAACCTCAATATTTTTATCGATGCCTCTGACACGGACTACTTTATCAAGCCTTGTACCCAGGACAAAATAAAATTTATTTCCTAAACAGTGCAAATAATATTGTATCCCGTGGTAAGTGGACGAGAAAAAAGCTTCGATAAATGCTTAAATGGACTCTAACATAATATGTAGTTAATTGCTCAAGTAGGTCGTATAGTATGACGTCAATTATAATCGATCTATCACTGTCAACTCACAAAAGCTTGCCTAATTTACAAATTGAATGCAGTGAGTTGCTGCATTAGGTTCCGGCAGGGTGCAACACGTGCATAAATAAATACCTCAGTTACGCAACTAGACCTGGACATTGACGGCTCACCAACAGGGTTCGCTAGAGGTTTTTGTGGAAAACCCCCAATGTTAAATAGGGTTTTTGTGGATTTTTCCGGGGTTTATGTGATGCTTTGGGTCAAATATTGCACTTCGAATAAAACTAATTCAATCTTCGGATTCAGTATGAAATTTTGAACACTGTCGTGTGTTATTAGGGCTATTTTATTTTATTTCATCAAACTTTTGGTCAGAAACAGAACGGAACATACATTTTGAAAATCAATAACAAAACACCCTCGTACTTGCATGAGGAAATAAGGAAATATGTATGCGTATAGAGATGTCAACATTTCAACCATTCTGCTTGTATTTATTAAGGGGTGAAACCCCTTTATAAGAATGTTATGTCCGTCTGTCCGTCCGTCTGTCCGTCTGTCTGTCCGTCTGTCCGTCCGTCTGTCCGTCTGTCCGTCCGTCTGTCCGTCTGTCCGTCCGTCTGTCCGCACGATAACTTTTGAACGAATGCGAATTTCTCGGAACGGTTTTTTGCAAACGGTACCTAAGGTCAATAGCTCGGATGAGTTCGAAGATGGGCATTGTAGATACCCGGGAACCCTGTCAAAACACCCGGGTAACATGCAAAAAAACCGAATTTTCGGATTTTCAAGGTTTTTGACAGTTTTGAAGACGGGGAATCTGAATTCGATGACCATTTTGACATCAGACGATTCCTTCCGTGTCAAAACACCCGGGTAACATGCAAACAACCGAATTTTCGGATTTTCAAGGTTTTTGAGTTTTGAAGACGGGGAATCCGAATCCAATCACCATTATGATGTCAGACGATTCCCTCCGTGTCAAAACACCCGGGTAACATGCAAAAAACCGAATTTTCGGATTTTCAAGGTTTTTGACAGTTTTGAAGACGGGGAATCCGAATCCAATCACCATTTTGACATCAGACGATTCCTTCCGTGTCAAAACACCCGGGTAACATGCAAAAAAACCGAATTTTCGGATTTTCAAGGATTTTGAAAGTTTTGTTGTGACAATATTATTTGTGGAATCATTATTCTTCCGTTTCACCCCTTGGTTACATTCGTTGGAACGGTTTATTTATAAAATACTTCGAAATTTTACGAACCCTGTCCAGGGTATGTTACCATGGGTTTTTGGGGCATTGGGGAATTGCGAGTTTTGGTGGGGTTTGGGGTAGCAAATGTGTGGAATACCCACGGGTAGTCGGGGTAGTCGAGGTTTTCAAATTTTACAAAATATGATAACAGGGCATTACTATATAGCAATTTAACAAATTAATTACGCATTAAAATATAATTAACAAGCAGTTTTGTTGCGAAATTACTGAAAAACTGATTTTTTTCATTAATTTCTGAACTTAATATGTACATGAGACACTGACTCAGTTCGCCCCCAAAACCTCGACTACCCCGACTACCCGCAAAACCCAGGTAAAACCCCGGGGTTTTCCTTACCCTGACCCTGTCAGTACGTTATCTGTCAGTTTCAAACCGCAAGCATAACTACGCAAACATACCAGCTTATGGAAAGTTTATCACCTTGTCACAAATTAATTTACATAACTACGATCACAAGTGGATTATATAAAACATATTTTATCTCCACAAACGTATCATTACTGCGTCAATTTTTATGCAACACGACAACCAGGGTTTGCTATGCGGTTAATACAGCCGTCCAAAAGCGGTTATGAACTGCAGGACGCCAAAAACCCTTACATGGCTCAAATACAAATACAAAATGGACCAATGCGCTATAAGGTCTTCGTTATTAGATTTCTCGATTATCCTCGTTGACTAAAAGTCCAGCTTTTTTAGGACATTTTGGCTCATATTTAATATGGAATGACTTTTACAACTTCTGAATTTCTTAGAAGTATACTTGCAAAACAAAAAGGGCCTCAGCATGTCTGGGTATCCATATCTACATACATATGCTCGAAAATCAATAAAATATGTATGTAGTATAGAGATTTTAAAAATGACGCGTTTTTAGTGTTTAGATGAGCCATAGTTATATGCCATGTCACGGATATATGTAGCGTCCCTATCTAATAACCGGCCATACGCATGAGCAATAACTTATACACTCATAAGCCAACATCGGTATATTACGTATCATAGTATCGTCCAGTCACGTTGAGCGAGCTACTGGACGAGATGAGGAGTGAAAAAAGTGACGTTATCTCTGCAAAAATATAAAAGTGAAGGATATTCACTTGACTTGAGTCATGCGGCTGGCAAATAATCGCGTCTATTCTCTGCACGGGTAATTCCAGCCGGCTTCACTTAATGGAGGAATTTTATTTGAGTTATACAACGAACTACGCAGTACCCGTAAACGTTTTATTATCTTACTCAATAAATCAAACAATATATGAATTTATAACAGATAAACCAATCTCAACTTTGGACTTCCTCAGATCTCCAGGGTTCCAAAGCTACATAAATGCCAGTTTCCATATACAGAAAATTTTGTTCTATGTCATCGTTTCTGGTGCAAGTAACCACTTGCACGAATAAAGTGGGATCTTGCAGAATTTTTTTTCGAAAGGATTACAAGAAACTACTACCCCATCGCTAGATGATACGCCCTTTTCTCGCACTTTCTGGCATTTCTTGCAACTTGCATTCCCTGCTTTGCATTGTAAAAATTAGAAAACCCACACGTACACCATGCACGTAATACTGTGCATGATGTAAGTCTTTGAGAGGCAGGAGCATTTCCAAAGACGGAACGAAAACCCAAACAAATTGTGTTGTCCAATAATACAATTGGTCCAAAACATCCCTTGACAACAAAGTTTCCTGATGTTTTCCGGAAACTTTGGTGTCCTGATCAAATAGCAGACCACTAAGCATGGGTTTCTAAAGGCTTATATTGCGACTTCGACTACAAGGGCTTATGTTCCGACGGTGGGCTGTTTCTGCAATTGTTCTAATAAATTTGATTTCTTTCACTACCGGAGTTTCAGTCTGACAAAAAAATCATTTTCGACGTCAGTAAATCTACCATCCATCAATAAAGTTTAAAACTGACAATTATTTAGATAATACTGGAAAGCCAATCCGCTCAAATCAGCAAAATAAGGTGATCTGGGCTGAATAAAGTGTGCATCAAGAAACTGTGTAACCTATTTATATAAGTAATAATTATAAGTAAAACAATGCAATCGGGTGACCCACAGGGTTGGACGGGAGATCCGAAACCCCATTCTGCCTCTCGCACTTTTACGTTGAAATTCTGCTTTCGAGATAAACCGTTATCAGCTTATGCTCATGAACAAAGTCTGCGTTCAATTTGGTTCAACGGTCAGTACGAATCCTACATGCACTGCGTAAAGCTTGGTTTTTCTTCTCGCTAAAATTATTGGCATCACTTTATCCCACTGACCGGAACCTTTTCCTGCTTCTTGATTTCTTCAGACCCAAACCTGGTAAGACAAATAAAAACGCACTTAACCCAACAAATTTTGATATCCTCAAATATCCTACAGAAAAAAACGTCACAATGGAGCCAGAAACAACAACTTTCACTTCCTGGTTTGACCATCTCTCCCTGGAAGAATTTCTGGGTGCCGGATCCTACGGACATGTATTCAAGGCTATCAGTGGAGCGGAATCAGAAAGATTGTCAGCCGTCAAAGTAATATTCATTGACACGTTTGGAAAATTAACAGAAGAGCTGGAGAAAGAAAAGGAAAGAGCTTCTCGAGAATATAACCTGATGACAGGTAAAAAACATGAAAATGTACTAGAAATTCTGAAATCGACGTACACTAATTTCACCGTCTCGGACTTGAACATCATTAAAAACCTGGATTGCCTCAAGGAAAATAAGAATGCTGCAAATATGATTAACTTTCGAATTATAGAAGCATCAGAAAATCCCATTCCAACATTTTGTATACAAATGGAACTGTGTGGAAAAAATTTGAGACAATGGCTTAACGCGCAATCTATTAACAATCCTGAGTTAGATCAGATTAAAAAAACCATCATACGAAATATGTTCGAAGGGTTAAAATACCTTCACAGCAATAACATAATGCATCGCGATTTTCGTCCAGAAAATGTCATGTTCAGCTATTCATCAACAACAGATTTTCTTCTGCCTGTTAAAGTCGGTGATTTTGGTTTATGTCGGAACGTGCATAGGGAGCAAACCGTCACGGGAACCCTGACCCCTGGGCTAGGACATGACCTGTATCGTGCCCCAGAAACAAGGGGAAGTAATTACGGTGTTCAGGCGGATATTTTCTCTTTTGGACTGGTCTTGTGGGAAGTAACTCACCTATTGAGACAAAGAGAAATTGGCAAAATATTTTACCAACTAGTTGACGAATCAAAAACCAATCTCGTTAAGCCTAGTACGCTATTTCGCAATGTTAATGAATCAATCATATCACTAACGAGGAGGCGTGTTCAAGATCGAATCAAAAGCTTACATGAAGTAGAAAATCTCGATGAAAACCATAATCAGTTCACCGTCAAGAAAAGGAAAGCGTTGGTGGAAATTTTGAAAACCTGCAAGCCTGGAGATACAATCGTACTAAAGGATTTCGTTGGTACTAGATATGCATATGCTGAATATGAGTTATGTGCAGATAATGTAACATTATATCAAGAAGGAAGAGTAAATGGTCACCATAATTGGGGGTTAGTGGTCAAAGGGAATAGTTGCGCAATCAAGAATATTACTTTCAATAAAATCAAAATTGAAGGAAGTAACAATTTGTTGCAAGATATCAATTGCAGCGAGTTTAATTTAATAGGGTGCAACAATAAAGTTTCAAATAGCAAAGTTAGAGACTACTTCGGTGTCCGGAGTGTAGTGTCCGGAGATAGCAATTCACTGGAAAATTTGCAAATTATATATGAATCCGGCGGGATTCTGGTATCCGGATCAGGCAACACATTTCTGTCGCTTAAATTTAAACATCTGAACAATATAGGATTAATAATTTCCGGCTCAAGAAATGTGGTACGCGATTTCAAAATAGAGTCACGTGATAACCCCCGGCGTGATCCTAATAATTCATATTATTTGAAAAATTTAACAAAATTACATGCAATTACAGAAAATTACTCGGACGAAATTAAACGTGTATACGATACGTACGGTGCAATTGGTATAATAACGACTCCAACCTCTTCAGAAACTGTAATTAGTAATACCATCTGCGAGAACGTACTTATTTCTGGAATGCAACATCAGCTTGAAAGCGTAATAATCAACAAAACATTACACTTAGAAGGCGAAAATCATTCGATCAACTCATGTAAAGCCCACCAACTATTTGACAAGAGTCACTCGACCGCACTTATTGACAGCAATTTTGAGATAGCAGAGCTTAATTAAGATATTCGTTATCCTTTACGCAACATCTTGTATTTACATACTCTACTTGGAATAATTTGTTAATCGTAATTCAATACACGTATGTATTACATACATACACAGGCTAAGAATTTAGTTATTCGTTGCTTATGTTGTCAGCTTTGAGAAATTAATTTAAACTCGGTAAAATAAATCGCTTTACGAATGTTGAATATAACGTTAGTGTAATTTATGCTTACAATTTATTCATCCTAATCCTAACTAAATTAGCGTATTACTTTGCACATGGAATAAATTACATGTACCAATTTTTGTCTGAAACATTTATGTACGGTTTTGATATGTATGAACTGAAACACTCTTAAAAATAATCATCAGAATGGTGTACGTAGTAAGCTATGTATGTAGGATTATTCTGTTAATCGTGAAAATATTGCTGGATTTCGCCTCAGTAAGTTTTTTTTCAATTTTTCCCATTTTCACCAATTAAGTACACCTTCTTGGCGGATGGAATACTTCATTTTGTCACCCGTACGGATATTTTTATTAAATGACACAATTCAAATCAAAATCTAATCATTTTCGCACTGCGTGAAAATTCGAGGTCATTAACGCCTACACTTCTGGGCGTCATTTTTTTGAAAATACATTACCCAGTTTCAGCATTTCCGCTGTAGACGAAGCCATGGACGCCACCATTTTTCCAAACTGATTGAAACGTTACGCTGAAAATAATCTTGCATTGGAACCATTGGAATTTAAAAAAGTTGAGATATTTACTGGATGGGATTGAACAAGTATCTGGGATCACAAAAATGCAAATTTATCAAAATCCTAGCACAACTGGATTTTTTGTGACTTTTTGAAGTTGGTAATTTTTCAAAATTGTCCCACGGAGTCGAACCAATTTAGGGTTTTAGTACACTCATCTGACACTATGTACCACGTATCCCAAGGGAATCAAGATCTGTTCTTATCAATCTCTTCTTATCAAGCACCCTCCCATGAAGTATTTTGTTGAAAAGACGACAAATATTTATGTTTCTATCTGTGCATACTTACATATCCAGCAGGATCACTTAATATTTTTTTTATAAAATGACTGGTCAAATAACTTGTTTAGCATAATTTTTTCGTCAGTTCGATCTGATCCAAGGTCGTATGTGCAAATTATGATGATGGGGTATGTTTGGTTGCCTAATTAGCTAAAGATGAAAGTCACAAAATTATGCAGAGATTATGTATAATCGTTCAGGAATCCTGGTTTTCGATAAGATAAAATGAATAAAACCATAAATTATGCATCTGTAAACTCGTATATCAAGTTCTGATTCAAGTTATTTAAATTCACTGATCAGTATTCATTAATATAAATATTATAGAATTGACTACAATTTGACATGCCATTTATATTTATACATGAATATCTCCAAATCGGTAGGGAATTAAAACTCAAATTCAGCAATCGCTATTTAAAAACTTGTATAAAACGTGCTGCAATAATATTAATTGAGGAAAACTCGATTTCACAAGAACTTAGCAACTACAAGGTTATCACCAGCATCGGATATGAATAATTGATAAAATCTCAAAATATGAATGAAAAATTAACGTAAAAATCCCCACAAAATGACTTTATTTTTGAAATTGTTGGCTTATGTGGGACTATTTTTCCACCAAAAAACTAGTTCTGAGGTTTTGAGGTTCTTCACAAGACGATAGTGAATATAATTCCTGTAAATTTCTCACAATGAATCATTTAAAAAAATTTCTGGCATACAAAATCTTAGAATTTGACCATAAGTCATAAAGTAAACGAAAAAAGGTCAAAATATAACCGAGAATATGAATATGTAAATACTAATACCCGAAAATATGACTAACATGTGAAAAAAGGCTTTGACCCACGTGACCTTCCAGTGACCGTGAACATTCTCGGAAAGTTTTGGGACTGCTGGTTAATAAATGGAAAAAGTCATTTCTAATTCATATCCCATGTATGATTGTCAGTTTTCTAAGCTGTGCCCAGAATCGCAATGAAAATAGAACAAGTGATAAAGACCGGTATGCAAATTCTGATCAATGAATGGAGTGGTGAAACACAATGTGGTTCACGAAATAATTAAGGTGAAATTGGATGACGACATTCCTAACACCCCTATTCAAGTTGGACTCGTCCCGCCCCATAAGCATGCATGTATAGTTTCAATTGTCATCATCTCCTTCATTTCTGCATCAAAATTAGTGAGGTGTGTTGCAATATGAGCTTAATTTATAGGTGAACAAACAAGTGTAGTTGAAATTTGCTAGAAATGAATTTGAGCTGAGATAAATCCTTTCTTAATTTATTAACCTAAGATAGGATTTATCTCAGCTCAAATTCATTTCTAGCAAATTTCAACTACACTTGTTTGTTCACCTATAAATTAAGCTCATATTGCAACACATCTCACTAATTTTGATGCAGAAATGAATGAGATGATGACAATTGAAATAGTTTTTATTAATTTTTGTCGAGATTGGGGTAAGCTGACCCTGCCAAGCCCACGGCGGATAAGTCATAATACGTGAGTTTTACTTCATCACGAGGAAGGGGCAGTTTATTGTCATGCCCAGGACTCATTATTGTTTCTTTATTTCTAGTTTTACGTCATTGCGGACGGGCTGAGTTTTACGTCGTCCCAAGACCCGTCACGATAATAAAAAAACGTGAGTTTTACTTCATCACGAGGAAGGGGCAGTTTATTGTCATGCCCAGGACTCATTATTGTTTCTTTATTTCTAGTTTTACGTCATTGCGGACGGGCTGAGTTTTACGTCGTCCCAAGACCCGTCACGATAATAAAAAAACGTGAGTTTTACTTCATCACGAGGAAGGGGCAGTTTATTGTCATGCCCAGGACTCATTATTGTTTTTTTACTCGTAGATTTACGTCGTTCCGGACGGGCTGAGATTTTCGTCGTCATCATCATTATATATTTAGATTACCTATTTTTTGTGTATTTTTATTTATTTAGTTTTATGTTTATTTTAGTTTTGAATTTTGTCTATCGTGTATGTTAGTTATTTGTAACAATGCCTCAAGTCTCAAAGTTCAGGCTTAGCCGAAAAGAGAATCATAGAAAAAAAAGTAAAACTATTGAAGCTACACGAGCATTAGAGGGGACAATTGAACCACAGGGGACAGTTGAACCACAGGGGACAATTGAACCACAGGGGACAATTGAACCACAGGGGACAATTGAACCACAGGGGACAATTGAACCACAGGGGACAATTGAACCACAGGGGACAATTGAGCCACAGCGTACAGTTGAAACAGAAGCAAGTATTGAATTTGAAGGGACAATTGAACCAAACGGAAGTATTGAATTAGGCGGGATAGTTGAATCAGATGGAACAATTCAATCAGATGGAAGAATTGATTTAGAGTTGACAGTTGAACCACAGAAGACAATTCAAAATTATCCATCGCCTGAATATTTAAAAAGCATTTCTGTAAAAAATGCTTCCGGAAGAAGAATTTTGTCTTTCAAAAGTCTAATCAATGGAATTACTGATATTTCAACTCACTCTTCAATTTGCCCGATCGCAGAAGTTTCCTTAGATTTGGAAAGACGTAATGGGTTATCTACTGAATTTGTGTTTAAGTGTGTCTGTGGATGGGTTGCTGTTATTTCTAGCGATTCGGATTGCAATACACTTACGATTAATGACAGTTTTGCATGGGGGTGTGAGTGCTCCCCCGTTGGCTTGACGGCAGCGACGTCATTACTAACAACAATGGACCTCCCAGTTCCAGACTATAGAACATTTAAGAAAGCAGAGGAAGAGTGCAAGGCCAAAATGGAGGATGCTTTTGTGCAAGAAATGAATGAGGCTTTGGCTCGAGAAAAGGAGCTGGCCATAGAAGAAAATAGTTTCGTTGTAGTTGAAGGCGTTCAATATGCTGCAATAACAGTATGTGTTGATGGTGGATGGTCAAAAAGGAGCTACGGTCACTCATACTCAGCTAACTGTGGGATTGGTGTAATAATCGGAATAAAAACAAAGAAAATAATATTTGCAGACACTCGATGTAGGACTTGTGTTGTATGCGATAAAGGTCGCGAAGAAAATGGGGACCATGATTGTCCAAAAAATTGGTTTGGTCCACCAACAGCAATGGAGTCTGATATTTTAAAAAAAAAGGGTTTTCAGAAAGTCGCGAGCACGGACTAGTTTATACTAAATTTATTGGCGATGGAGACTCTTCTGTACATGCAAACATTGAAAATATATACCCAGGTATTAAAGTAAAGAAAATTGAATGTAAAAATCACTTATACAAGAACCTAACAAAAAAATGTATGGCTTTAGCTATGAACAAGATAACAGGAAAAAATTCTCATAATATATCTCTAAATGAAAGACGCGATTTAAATAAACATTTGCATCGCATTCCCATTGCAATTAAAATGTCGGTAAAACATTACATGGAAAACAAGACAGTTAATTCTTGGAAAGATTTACAACAGGATATCCTTAATATTCCATTCCACATTTTTGGGCGTCATTTAAGATGCAAATCGTATTTTTGCGATCCTTCTAAAGCAGCTGAACCGGACACAGTGGCAAAAATGATGACCTGTAGTTTTTGGGAACCACTGCAATTAGCTCTTAGGAAAATAGCTAACGAGAGTTATAGTTTGATGGAAAACCAAACGAGCAACGTGGCAGAGAACTTCATTTCAGTTGCTAATAAATTCATGGAAGGCAAGCGAAAGAATTTGGGTCAGAAAGGACTATACAGACACAGAATGCTGGCTGCCGTGTTTTCCTATAACAATTGTTCATACTGGCCAACCAAAATCTATACAACACTTTTTAATAAACCTCCGTCTAGTCCATGGAGAAAAAAATATGCTGCTTCTGTTAGAGAAAGATGTCGAGCTAAAAAACCTAAAGCCGCACGAAAAATTGTATTTCCGGTGCCTAGTAATGCAAGAGGTGATAGCAACTACGGTACTAACCCAAGCAAGCCGGATCTGCCAGATGATGTGTTAGCTTGTGCAATAAGATCGCTCAAGAAATCCTTACAAGTTACCGAACCTCAGCAACAGGAGATCGAAGAGCAAACTAGAGGCCAGTCGGATAATTCAATGTGGCAATTGGAGAGAAGGAAGAGAATTACCGCATCAAACGCTCATTTAATCAACAAGCTTGGTAGGAAAACCGATAACACAGCCGCGCTAAATAAGCACTTTGGCAGACGAGTGTTTAAAAAATTGATACCACTCATGGAGTATGGAAAAAATAATGAAGTAAATGCCATAACACAATATGAGAAAGCAAAAGGCTTGGATCCCGGTTCAGTAAAAAAGTGTGGACTTTTTGTATATTCAAAAAATGGCATTTTTGCCGCATCACCAGATGGACTGCTCAACGAAGACGGTTTATTAGAAGTAAAATGTCCACCATCTATCCGTGATAAAGATCCGAAAGACTGGCCTATATTTTCGCCAAGAACAAGCTGCCTTGAAAACCGTGATGGGCAACTCCGGCTGAAGTGTTCTAATGCGTATTACTATCAGGTAGTAATGCAAATATACGTTACAAACCGTCAGTGGTGTGATTTCTTTGTTTGGACACCTGTTGGGTATCACCTAGAAAGGATCACCCGTAATGATGACACTGATAAATTATGGGAGATTATGCAGTTAAATATGGAATATTTCTGGGAAAATGATTTAGCACCAGAGCTTGTTGATTCAAGATTTGAACGGGGTTTCAACAACTATAGATGCCCTGAATCTAGGAAAGATGCGGTCGAGAAGAAAGCGAGTAAAAACGCACTGAACAGCGCACCCTCGAAAACCCAAGAGACAACAAAACGTAACTATAAGGGTCAACCAGTCGATAAGTTGGCTGATATTTAGAAACTCCAGCAAGATTCTCCCAAAAATCTCATTTTCTAATAAAGGTAGGTGGTACCAGCCCCTGTGCACTGTCTTTCTATTTCAAAAGCCTTTTGTTTCATCGTCTCAAACTTTCATAAAATTTCAAGTTGTCCCATTACAGAAGAAATCATAATGATCTGCGATCAGGCCTTTCCAATTAATTAGCTAATTAAATAGCATTGTCTGTCTAATTACTAATTACTAATTAAAGTTAATTAGTAGAATACTACCTAATTAAAATTACTAATTAATTAGAATGATCGACAAACTAATTACTAATTAATTTGTTTTTTCTAAATAAAATTTTTTAATGCATATTTCTCGTTTAGCTCGTAAAAATTTTCGTGGCGGCTGCAAATATATTCGTGCTTTATCAACTTCAAAGCTTTTTTTAAACTTGTAGTTGTAACTTTAAACCTTTGTATTAAATTAAAACAACGAGATAGCAATATATTTTTGGTATGTTTTTGAATATAATGGACTCCCTTGCGCAGAAGCTTAAAAACTTGTTTGATAATATATGGCATATGGTATACTTTTAAAAAAGTTGACAGCTACAAAGTAACGACTGCTTGTAAATTTTGTCCAAATAAAGCGATTACCGGCACAACTAAGGTCACCTCTAATTTCCACAGCCGTCTCAAGGTAGTGCGTAATTTGCAGAGTCCGGATAAATATGTTCTTAAAAACCCCGAAATATGTATGTAAAATGTTCAATCAAATCGCCAAAATATGTATACAAAACATATTTTCAATTCACTCTAAATTGCTTCAAATTTAACTTATTTTACTGCAGAAACGAAAAAACAGCTTTCGCATTTCCTAATGACGAACTAACAGGGTTTCCACCTGCTCTGGTATTATTTCTACGATCATTGGAATTTTTTATGTATTGTGAATTTCTGAGGTTTCTCTAAAAGAATATATTTTTTTCGAAAAAATCGCTGAAATATGTAAAAACATATTTATGTGTATCAAAAATAATATAAATTTTTTTAAAATCGCCGAAATATGTAAAAACATATTTATGTGTATCAAAAAATGCACATTTTCTGCAAAATCGTCGAAATATGTTAAAACATATTTATATGTACCAAAACCTGAAAATACGTAAAATATGTGAAAACATTTTTTTGACCGTCTGACCTATGCCTGACCAGGAACAATATCCCAAAGTTTCAACCCGATCGGGTTATTATTGAAAAAGTTTAAAATACATACATAACCGGACTCTGGTAATTTGTTATAAATTTCAAAACAATTCGACATTTTTCATTCGCTGAAAGACGACTTATTCGAGATATCAGCCATGCTTAAATGTTGTAAAATTAATTCATCAAAAATTATGAATATGGTAAATTTAATTATTCAGTAATTAGAAGTAATTAATTAGCTAATTAAAAATTAATTAGATTTGCTTGTCACAAGTAATTACTAATTAAACAATTAATTAAATCAAAATTTTCGGAACTAATTACTAATTGCTAATTAATTAGAAAAGTGAATAATTAGAAAGCCCTGTCTGCGATAAATAACACTAATATGAAATAAATAATGATATGTAATAAATAGCAATAATATAAACAAATTAACTCCTTTATTCAAAAAATGTATATTGAAAATAACAATAATTAAAATTCCATGAGGAGCCGTTCTTCTTCTTCCTTGCTGATTTCAAGTGGAGGGGGCTGTTGTTGTTGATCCTGTGGTTGTTGTTGCTGATCCTGTGGTTGTTGTTGCTGATGTTGGGGAGGTGGGTGTCGCGGCCGCTGCTCCAACCACGACTCTAGCTCACGTGGGGGAGCACCACTCTCCAATTCCCGAAGACGTTGCATGAGCACAGGGTCCGCCCCACTGCTTTCGTGCTCTTGGTGGCCCGACCCGCGACCTCGGTGGACGAGGCCGCCATATCCGCGATCTCGGTGGACGTGGTCGCCATGCCCGCGACCTCGGTGGACGTGGCCGTCATATCCGCGACCTCGGTGGACGTGGCCGCCATATCCGCGACCTCGGTGGACGTGATCGCCATGCCCGCGACCTCGCTGGACGTGGTCGCCATATCCGCGACCTCGGTGGACGTGGTCGCCATATCTACGATCTCGGTGGACGTGGTCGCCGTGCCCGCGACCTCGGTGCACGTGGTCGCCATGCCCGCGACCTCGGTGCACGTGGTCGCCATATCCGCGACCTGGGACTTGCTCCCTACATTGCTGGCGTTGCCGGCGACCCTGGCTGGACGGTCGACCTCTACCCCTACCCGCCTCGTATATGTTGACGGTGATCATCGTCCGGAACGACGTAAATCTACGAGTAAAAAAACAGTAATGAGTCCTGGGCATGACAATAAACTGCCCCTTCCTCGTGATGAAGTAAAACTCACGTTTTTTATTATCGTGACGGGTCTTGGGACGACGTAAAACTCAGCCCGTCCGCAATGACGTAAAACTAGAAATAAAGAAACAATAATGAGTCCTGGGCATGACAATAAACTGCCCCTTCCTCGTGATGAAGTAAAACTCACGTTTTTTTATTATCGTGACGGGTCTTGGGACGACGTAAAACTCAGCCCGTCCGCAATGACGTAAAACTAGAAATAAAGAAACAATAATGAGTCCTGGGCATGACAATAAACTGCCCCTTCCTCGTGATGAAGTAAAACTCACGTTTTTTTATTATCGTGACGGGTCTTGGGACGACGTAAAACTCAGCCCGTCCGCAATGACGTAAAACTAGAAATAAAGAAACAATAATGAGTCCTGGGCATGACAATAAACTGCCCCTTCCTCGTGATGAAGTAAAACTCACGTTTTTTTATTATCGTGACGGGTCTTGGGACGACGTAAAACTCAGCCCGTCCGCAATGACGTAAAACTAGAAATAAAGAAACAATAATGAGTCCTGGGCATGACAATAAACTGCCCCTTCCTCGTGATGAAGTAAAACTCACGTTTTTTATTATCGTGACGGGTCTTGGGACGACGTAAAACTCAGCCCGTCCGCAATGACGTAAAACTAGAAATAAAGAAACAATAATGAGTCCTGGGCATGACAATAAACTGCCCCTTCCTCGTGATGAAGTAAAACTCACGTTTTTTTATTATCGTGACGGGTCTTGGGACGACGTAAAACTCAGCCCGTCCGCAATGACGTAAAACTAGAAATAAAGAAACAATAATGAGTCCTGGGCATGACAATAAACTGCCCCTTCCTCGTGATGAAGTAAAACTCACGTTTTTTTATTATCGTGACGGGTCTTGGGACGACGTAAAACTCAGCCCGTCCGCAATGACGTAAAACTAGAAATAAAGAAACAATAATGAGTCCTGGGCATGACAATAAACTGCCCCTTCCTCGTGATGAAGTAAAACTCACGTTTTTTTATTATCGTGACGGGTCTTGGGACGACGTAAAACTCAGCCCGTCCGCAATGACGTAAAACTAGAAATAAAGAAACAATAATGAGTCCTGGGCATGACAATAAACTGCCCCTTCCTCGTGATGAAGTAAAACTCACGTTTTTTATTATCGTGACGGGTCTTGGGACGACGTAAAACTCAGCCCGTCCGCAATGACGTAAAACTAGAAATAAAGAAACAATAATGAGTCCTGGGCATGACAATAAACTGCCCCTTCCTCGTGATGAAGTAAAACTCACGTTTTTTTATTATCGTGACGGGTCTTGGGACGACGTAAAACTCAGCCCGTCCGCAATGACGTAAAACTAGAAATAAAGAAACAATAATGAGTCCTGGGCATGACAATAAACTGCCCCTTCCTCGTGATGAAGTAAAACTCACGTTTTTTATTATCGTGACGGGTCTTGGGACGACGTAAAACTCAGCCCGTCCGCAATGACGTAAAACTACAAATAACGTTGCTCTTTGAGTTTCCCTCAAATTTTGGGCGGAACAGTACACTTTTTTGAGGGGTTTGGGGCAACACGCTACCATGTGCGGTTTAAATGGTGTAAGATGAACCTTATGTCGTAACAACTTTCACCGTGCATTGTGTAGGTCTCTAATGATGCATTTATAAAGGCAACCTTTGTCAAAATTGCAGACTCAGGGCTCGAGTTTAGCATTGTTTGGTATTGGGAAAAAATCGGGACGTCCTTTGTCTCTCCGTTGTCATTGTTTCGTAGCGTCACTGCTAATATTAATCTGGTCATCAGACTTATGAAGATAGTCATCAGCTCTTGATAAAGTGCCACAAGTCTGTCAAAAATCTTTTCAAATGCATCCTGAATAGAGAGATGTATTGAGATAAATCCGTGCTTGAATTCCATTTCCCTATTTTGATGGATTCCGTATTTTGATGGATTTGATGATTTGAGTTTGCTGGAATCCATGAGTGTTAAAATTTGATGGCAGAATGTGAGGTACCTGTTGTATGCTTGGGTTCAAGCTTTGTCCACCGCCACAAAAATGTACGTCAAGCCGTGGAAATGCAGAGATGCATCTTTCACAAAAATGCATAATGCTGAAACAAATATTATTATATTAACAGACTGTTAATTGATAATGTTCTATCAATCAATAAGCCTACCCGTAGTGATCGTCGTATTGCTGCAACTTAGTTGCCACGAATGAGCATCCTACGAAAGCGCAGTGAATTTCGCGACCGAAGCGAGTTGGCCCACTCCTATCACGGAGCACGACAGGGTTGATTGATGGAACCGGTAACGCCATTGTTTAGCATCACGTATTATTTAATTATTCACAAGGTTTAGATTAAAGTTTAACAAGATATTTTAAAAGTTTGTGTTGAAAAAAAGTACCAATGGCTACTAATGAAGCACTATCAAGCTTAATACATTCAAATTATTTGAGTGTTGTAGAATTGAAGGATAAATCTACTCTGAATCTTCATGCTCTGGTTCCGGAATAACTCCTAGCCGAATTAATTCTGCTGTAGTCAATTCGAAGCCAGTCTTGAATTCGTCACTTTGGAATCGTTCCAACGTAATATGATTATCCTCAATCATGAGGTCTTCTAGGCGTCCAACTCGAGACAGCCCACAATATCTGAAAGATTTTACAATAAAAATCTTTTAATGTAATATGTAAATTATAAATGTAAAAATAAATGAAAAAACTTACGAGTAGTTCGAAAACTGTTCTCTACTTGTAAAGTTGAAGGTTAGCTTGTAAAGCGTTCTTCCCTTTACCCTGTAAAATTAAATATGTTTATTTAAAACGCGACAATATCACACTGTTATCACGGATTTTGCAGCAAAATTAAAATATACTTGAATAATGTGGCTGCGCTGCATTGGCGGACTGGGAAGCGTTTAACTCTATACGACCCTCCCTCGCCCACAACTTCGTCCTGCACGAGTGGAAGGAGGATGCCCCCGAAATATGTTGGCCCGTTCCAGTTTTCAAGCTTGAAGATGAGGAACTTTGGGTACGATGGATCCCGTTCCGAGACCATAGACCTGACCACTTCGCTCTGCCTCCCGTTTATGATACAGGCGGAAACACTAGGTCCCTAAAATAAAATTTAATAAGTATTCTCTACACGTTTAGCAACTCTTCACAAAAAATTCCGCTTTACTTTCAACGAATGAGCTTGCGTTCCGGTAAATGCAGTCATCTTGCACTTTTTCTTTCCTCTCTGAATATCCTTCTGTATTATGTTTAATATCGTGCTTTTACCTGCACCACGTACAAATTTGATAAATCAAGTTATTAATTATTCTCAATCAGAAAGCTAAGCTCACCTTCACCAACAATCAACAACAGTTTAGGTGCTTTTTAACTTTTAAACTTTGGCTGACAATGCTGCTACGCTTGAGTGGTGACACAGAGAGTTGTATATTAGTCGGTGTGATAAATTCGAACTTAATTTCTTTAATTTGTTTTATTAAGGGGTGAAAGCCCTTTATAAGATCGTTATGTCCGTCTGTCTGTCCGTCTGTCTGTCGATCTGTCTGTCTGTTGGTCCGATAACTCTTGAACGGAACGACATGGAGACTTGAAATTTTGAACGTACACTCCTAACAGGAGTGTACGTTCGTACGTACACGTTCGTTCGTAAGTAATAACACTCTTAACAAGGGACAGGACGAGTTCGAAGATGGACACTGTGGGTCACACCCTTCAAGGTCAAAGGTCATGAAATGTCAATTTAAGGTCAATTACGGATATCACACTTCTTTCACCCCTTGCTTACATGTGTTGTAACGGTTTATTGTAGTTGCGATTTGTTTTAAAATAGCCGAATCTACTTTAAATTTATCGAACCAGTCGATGGATTTGTCAATTTCTCTGTCACCAAGATTATGCGCAGGAAGCATGACGAAATAGTTTTAATTTTGGATGGATTTTGGGTGGAGTAGATACGTAATGTTATTTGAAGCAGTCAACATGTAAGCATTCTAAACATTAAGAGCTTTGCATCAATTTTTTTTAATATAAAAGAACGTTGGTATCTTTGTATGGGGCATCCATTGGGTGATGATGCTGATAATACGCGACATCAGTGTCCGTAAAATACTGACGACTCGCGTCTTGAAGTCCATATAAAGACCTGACTCATTTTGCTAAACGTATATGGATTACTAACCCATAGATATTTCTGCAAATTTCTGCAAATAGATTTTGCAAAAATGTATTGAAACGTTGGGCAATTCCTACATGCATTTATGCAGACCTCGTTGTCAGTCGCATTTGATCACTCGACCAGACAGTACCACCGTGCTATGAATAAAAGAATATACCTAAAACAAGTATTGCCCCATCGGAACAACTTAAAAAACGATTTCAAGAAAATAAGAAAATGGACAACGAGCAAGTCGGTGCAGCAGGAACATCAAACGATAACGAGCACATAGTGTGGAGAACCCCCGAGTTCTTCTTGGGGTGTGAAGCCAAGAAACTTAAGAAATACAGTATGTGTCTACAATACAATGATTCGGCCGAATCAAATTTCGTATACGTTAGCAAACAAAATCCAAAAAAGGACATGTATATCGAGTATTCGATTTTTGAGTTCAAACAACTATAATCTACTTGGACAAACTACTGAATGAAATTGAATTTACCAACTGAGAGCAGACCTTACCGAGGCTAGTCCAGTCGGACTGGGGGAAATTAGACAATACATGGGAGCTTGATTTCTGGAGTGACCAACATTTGGTCGAGGTTCATGGGAGGACGAAAATTCGGCCCTTCATATCAAGTAAATTACTAAAAGTCATTACAAGTTCAAGCAACGATTACAAAAATTTTATTTAACACATTTGTTAAATCATTTACAGGTGGGTGCTACAGTTTAGCGATCAGGGGGATCGTTTCTCTCCGGGTGTTTGAAAAACACCCCGAGTTGAAACACTGGGTTGATCCCATCGCAATTATGAGGATTGCTGAGATGCGTTCTTTCTCTGGAATTGGAAAAAAGTTTCTCTCCATGGTGGGGAAAAAGCAGACGAGTTAAACGTCTAATCTTCATTGCAGTCACTGGATAGTCTGTACTCATATGATTAACAAAGCGAACGAAATATACTAACACGTTACAAAAATTATAACATGCAAACTTGAAAATATGTAAATCAAATCTCAAATAATTATTATGCATTTATGCGTCTTAAACATTTGCTCAACATTAATTCTAGCCCAGGAAATGCATACATACGTAAAAGGTGGAAATAAATAAAATCTTCTTATTATTATTTACATTGGCGAGTTTAATAATAAGGAAAAGCATATCCGAGATACTCATTCGGACATATTCTAATAAATTCAAATCTTTCACAAGCTGAACGTATGCAAAGGTTATAAATAGGCCAGCCTAATCCACTTGTGGGGCGATTGCAGGTGGTTTATTGATAAGTTTGCTGGCTGATACGATGTGCATATGTATCTATTTAAAGTTAAGCGACGATTTTTTTAAAGTGCAGACACCATCGTCTGTTGGTCATTGCACCAATTCTCGCGGCGAATCAAGGCCGTGCACGTTGCTGGATCTTCTTTTATGGGATTCGACTCTGAAAATCTAGAGATTTCTTCATCCGCGACACTTTGGGATAGTTTATTTAAAAAAACACAGCGTTCGTCCAAGACGTTGGATAGGATTTGTCCGCTTTAAAAATAAAAACTTGTATGAAATGTTTAGATGGATAAAATCACAAATGTTCAAATAATACAAAATAGATCAAAACAAATTTTGTTTATGTCTTGCTGAAGGGACACTTTCAATTTGGTTGAAAATGATTCCACGCTAATTTTGGGAGGAATGGTGGTCGTAGATAAAAATTTTGGAGCATGCAAAATGAAATTTTCAGGTGGAATTTGCGTTGTCGTAGTCGTCATCATTGTCGGTATCTTTAGAGTTACATGAACTAAGAATGATAAGCTCTCGGTTGTTGTTTTCACATTTTTACCATCCTCTAACTGATTCACCGAACGCAGAGTTGTTTCGGGCAATGTTTGTTCCCTAGGCTGGTTTCCAATTTCAAGTGTGTATGGTTGCTGGTCGCGGAGTGGCATTGTTATTGCATTATGACGTATTAGCATTTTTTCGATGATGTCAATAACTGCAAACATACCCCAATATATTTCAGAAAGTCTGCACATTTCCTTGTCTCGAAGGATCGTCTTGATTTTGTGTGCACGGATTGCATCTACATATCTGAATGCAAAGCTGTTGTATATCTCGTGTGATTATGTACACACACTTTGGTAATGAAACACATTCTTGGCAAATAGAACTTGCCTTGCAATCTTGCGATTGTAAATACACCAAATTTGGAAATGTTACTAAAATAAGTTAGATTTTTAAAATTTCCATGTTTTATGTGTATTAAAATTAAATCAAGAGCGATACACGTATGAGAATAAGAAACTGCAAGCAACTCCCCTAAAATTTGCAAGTATGCAAATTTCCCGACCAGCAAAAGAGTAATTAAAGTTTGAACGTCGTAGTAATGTAAGTAGTATAATGGTATGCAATTTGATGCTCTCGATTTTTATCTCTCTTGCAATGTAACTAGCACAATTATATTTAATAAACATATCGTCATCAATACCTTTAATTAAAAAATAGTTTGCAAATCTAAAATATAATTAAAATGCAATTTGATATGCAAGCGATGTAAACTAGCGTGTGGACCTGAGAGTAGTGAGAAGGGCTATGTATTTATTTTCATATCTTTAGGTAAACTAAAAATTATTGAGGTGTGTAAGAATTGTGAAAGACAACTATTTATATCGCTTCCTGGAGTCAGGTAGAAAAATATGACTGTGTCACCTTTAGTGAATGAATGAGTAGGAACAAATTCTCAGAAGGCAAAGGTTTCCCCAGTTTTCACGAAAATATGTATGTATGTACAACAAAAGTCGTCACGATTAAACATATTAATAGTTTTATTTATGTTGCCTTAATCTCTATAGCTTAAAAGAGGATTCGCTATTAAGAAGAGACGTTTATATGTAAGTACGGCAGCTGCAGGAGTTTTTCCGCATTTACATATGTACGTATATCCATACATGCATACATTTGTAAGAAATGAGGTGACATTTGGAAATAATTAATTAATTCGGATTAATCTCCAAAATTACGACTTGAAAATTTTGAAAATTATTTTTGACAATAAAGCAGAAATGTTCCGCTGTTTGTTCACGAACAAGTTGATGGATTGTTTTTGGGAGATACGAAACTCTAAATATATGTGCAAATACATTATACGTACATACATAATAAGGTGCACATATTTTTCTTTTTCAGAATTTTCATCTTCATACGACAATATGTGAAAATTCATTGATCATCTAAATAATTTATTGTTTCTTACATACAAACATACTGCATAAGCTTTCGGGTTTGTCATGGGAACCTGAGACTGATGTCCACTGTCTCAATATATCGTTATGGTGTATTTACCAACACATGCACATAATCTCATGTTGAGACTCGTCTCACTCTCCTGTATGTATGTACAAATATAAGTTTCGCACACAAAATCACAAAATTGACACATAATTGTTCCGCCGCAATTACCAATACTCAATACGCAATACCTTATGTCATACCTTATGTCATGTCGTTACTCTTTTCATGTTTCTCAAATTAATTGAATTAAATAGTGTTAATTACTACGGGGACTATAATCAACGAATTAGACCATAAATGTAAACATTAATTATATGTATGTTTTTACATACTAGTCATCCGTTTTAAATTTGAGCTAAATTAGGGGGCTTTTAAAAATAATTGATTATAATCGTTTCAGACGTTCCTCGTCTCGTCAAGTACGATGGATGGCAAGTTCGTTGGGCGGGTCGGCTCATCGATTACAAGTTTTCGAGCGTGGCACAGCACAAAACCCAAAGTAATTTGAAACGCCCAAATTTGAGTCAGATTTAAACCAAGTATCTATTATAGAAAAAAAAATATGGCCCCTGCGTTAAAACAGCAAGAAACGAAGAGCCAGCTGACGACCAACAATATGAGAGTTTAATTCTTCTGCTGAACGGGACATGCGCAAAAACAGGAAAAGAAAGATTAAAAGAATTAATTACTAACACTTATCATCACAGGAATTATCTGAGGCAAAGCAACCCACAGTCTATTTTTCTCCACTACAAAAAATTCAAAGAATGCGATTTTATGGTAAAAAATATCACATAACCGTTGGAAATGAAAGTTATGAAAATTATTAACTAATTTGGAAATTATTTTTTGTAGATTTCGTTTGAGTTCTCACTGATGAAGGAAGAATCGCAACACAACTTTACAAATTCATGGCCAGTATTTTCATCAAAACCACTAATTAAAGCTAAAGAGTTTAATTCGTCACCTGCTGTAACCAAATATTTAGCTGAGGAATCGGGTATAAGTTAAAATAATATAACTTTTTTTTCCTTATCAGAATAAATTAAATAAATTTTTGGCATGACTTTACAGATCAGTGGGATCAATCTTTAGCTGCTCTGTTTTTATTATTACATTTAATTCCCCCCGCGGCGCAAGGGAAGGCGAAGGGAAGTCGCAGCAAAACAACGTGTGCACAGATGTTGATGGTCTCGTATTACAAAGTATTTTTGTGCATAGACATTTTGTGATATTAAATGGTTTTAATATTGCGATATTTCAAATATGTTAAGAAAATTACCTAAATTTATTTAAATCTATTTTAGAGCGGAACACCCCTCAATTCAATCTTGGACACTTGGAGTGACGAAAAGCGACAGCCCAATTTAATTTGTCTTGGAGAAGACAAGAAGAATTTGGTATCTTTTTTCCTTGTAGTGGACAAAATACTTCTTCCTATTGACGCGACAAATTCCACAGAAGCCATTGATCGTTTATTCAAGTCACACTACGTTTTTTCTGCGGAATACGACAAGAATTTGCAGGGAGTCTGGAAATTTTTGCAAGTATTCATCTATAAAATTGATGTCGACAAAACAGATCTCTCAAGGAAAATCAAGCAAGTCTCATCACAACTGCACGGGATTCTAGCGGAAAGCAGATTGGAATAATGTTTATTTGTCCAAGGTGTCAGAAGTTAATTTTAGGGGTTAGTGAGTTTCACGACCATATTAAGTTTACACATAATATTACACATATAAATTTTACTAAATCAATTTGTCCTTATGACGGGTGCAATGTAGAAATATTTACTTGGAGTGGGTATCTACGTCACTGTAAATCTCACGAGATAAGTTTACAACAGGAGAATATACAAAGTCTTAATAATATTTTAGAATCAAATTCAAATGAGACAACCAATTTGGAAGACCCAGAGGTTTTTGAAAACATTACTGTTGATACTTGTATTGAAGTAATTATTGATAGTTTAGGCAACTTTTGTGCGTCTTTGATGGCGAAGGGTGTGAATAATTCCGTCGTAGATTTTGTTGTCAAAGATATGGAGTATTTAGTTACAGAAATTATTGATGTAATTTGTAGATTAGGAACGCAAACATTTAGTAACGAATTTAATCCGTTAGGATCTCAAATACGTACCCTCTTGTCGGGTTTCGGAAAAGTACGTTCTGGTTATCAGCGACAAAAACTTTTTGAGAAACGGGACAAAATTATCTCTCCTGTCGAAATTAGTTTAGGTAACAGAACTGAGGTTAATGTAAGAAATAACAAACGCCAACAAGTAATTGTTGAGGATACTTTTATGTATGTTCCTCTTCTTAAAACACTCGAAAAAATAATTAGAACTCCTGAATTGTTTCAATATTTCAAGACACAAAACTCAGATGACAAAATTATAAGAAATTTTGCAGACTCAGAGTCTTTTAAATCTAATAATTTATTTTCAATTTATAAGAATGCCATTCAATTGCAATTATTTTATGATGACTTCGAGACAGTCAATCCTTTGGGGTCAAAAAAAGGCGTGCACAAACTTGGTGGTATTTATTTCATTTTACGAAATTTTCCAGACTTTTTAAATTCTCAACTTTCACAAATTCATTTACTCGCTCTATTTTACAGCGAGGATGCTAAGAAATATGGATTTAATGCTATTTTAAATCACATTCTTCCTGATATCAGAATTTTAGAAATAACGGGTATATTAATTGGACGGGAAATATTTCGAGGAACAATTTGCTCTGTAGTTTTTGATAATTTAGGCGGGAATTCCTTATTGGGATTTACAGAATCATTCAATTCAAACTATTTTTGTCGTATTTGCTGTATTTCCAAGACAGATTGTCAGAACCAATTTGATCACACAAAAATGTCTATTCGTAATTCAGAAAATTATTTAGACCATTTAAACTCAAAAACATTTGGGGTTCAAAGTCCATGCGAATTGAACACTTTAAAATATTTTAACTTTTTAAATACCCCTACGGTTGACATAATGCATGACCTTCTGGAGGGGGTGGTTCCATACGAGATTAAATTAGTTTTGCAAAAATTAATTTGTGTGGGGTGCTTTGACCTTGAAACTGTGAATCATAGGATTTTGGCGTTTGACTTTGGCTACTTAGAATCAAAAAATAAACCTAACCCTATACGTCTTGATGGGAAAGGAAATAAAATTGGGCAAAAAGCGGCACAAACTTGGTGCTTAATTAGATTTCTCCCTATTATTTTAGGTGATTTAATTATCACAGATGAACATTTAAGATATTGGGAGTTAATTTTGCAATTACTTAAATGCATGAGCATTATATTTTCCAGAATATTTACAGAGACTTTAATTAATAAGTTAGAAGTTGCAATTTCAAAACATCATAACCTTTTTAAAACTCTTTTCCCTAATAATAACTTAATTCCTAAGCACCATTTTATGGTGCATTATCCATATGTCATAAAACAGTCAGGCCCGTTATTATCTCTTTGGACAATGCGGTTTGAGGGCAAGCACAATTATTTTGCCCAGATTGCGCATAATATTAGAAATTTCAAAAATATTTGCCTGTCTCTCGCAGTGAGACACCAGCAGTATAGTTCTCGTGTTTCTAAAAACATTGAATTACATTTTGGTTTAAAAACAGATGAAATTTTTAAAATTAATTTATCCGACTATGACGACTCTTTTGATATAATTGAATCACTAAATATATTTTTATGTACTCAGACCTTGTGTGGGAAGAATGAAATGTTAAGTACAAATCAAATATGGTACAACGGTTATAATTATAAGCGTAGCTTTATTGTGTGTTATGAGATGGGAAATGTTTTCCCAAAGTTTGGCCAAATTTATGAATTTATTTTATACGAATCAAATACTTGTCTATTAATTCTTAAAGTGCTGGACACCGAGTATTTTGATCGGCATCTGTTTGCCTATAAAATTAAGGAGACGGAGAATATTTTTAAAGTAGTCAATGTAAATAATCTAATTACTCATGATGCCATGGAGTTGAAGCATAATTGCAATGTTGCTGGAAATTTCGTGATTTCGAGACATTACTTGTAGTATTTAGATAAGTGGTGTAGTATTAAGAATTTAGCTGTAAATTTTGTCAAATAACATGTTAATTAATATTTGGGTGCATATTTATTTATTATTCCTATCTATGTATGTTTATAAATGTTGTTTTAATTCAAAATAATTGTAATTGCTACGTTAAGCGTTTAATTGTGCAATAAAAAAATATAATTAAACGAGAAACGTTTCATTACCATATTTTCGCATTCATTACTGCCATGGTAATTACACAATACTGCGTGGTATAAATATGCTCAACGCATGCAATACTAGGTGGTATAGAGCGCTCACCATCATTCAATACCACAGTGAATAAGAATAATACCACAGTGCGCACCCCATATAATACTGACACGGTTTAATGTGAATACCAATAACCCCACTATTTTTACTGCTCCGGTATCAGCGACAATACTATTTAGTATTAAATCAATACTACAGCGGTAGAGTCATATATGTATACCGCGTGGTATTGAAATAGTATTGATTTTGTTAAGAGTGCAGTCAAATGAATTAAAGTGAAAAGGTATGCTCTTTAGAAAGAAATTGGGTTGAATATGCAAATCGCGATTAAATTCTGGCTTCCGAAAAACATATCCTTTCATCAACTTAAAAACCTTTCTTTTTTTTACAAACATACGAATTTTCTTCATTCATTCATTCATTTTGAACAATCATTCGCTATCATAACCAGTCACATGAATGAAAGTGAACAGTATGATTTAGCAGTGTGAATAACATTAAAGTTTAGAAAGTGGTTAGTAAAACTGGACCAGATTCTAATGCGGTGTTCTGTTCAGAATCAAAATTGCGTTTTAAGTTATCCTGGAGAAAATTAAAATGGCATAAAAATAGCGCTGAACTTCTAAACGGGAACATTATTTAGCAGCGTGAATATGTAATTGGAAATTTACAAGTTGAGAAAATTTATCACAATACTGGATAATATTCCGACGCAGTGTTCTCCGAGAAGCAAAACTGTATTGTAGTTTACCGACGGAAAATTAAAATTGCATAAAAATTGCGTAAAAGTTCAATATAAATAGAATACAAATTGGATAAAAATTATATAAAAATTGCACAAACAGTGCATTAGCTTTCTGCGTCATGATCATAATTGATCGAGTGAAAAGATGCGACGTGGGAACCTTAAGGTTCCCATGGATGACGCGTTAGCGCGTAATCTCACTCTGCCCCTATCCAATGTCTTCAAATGCAATTTCTAAAATCGAATCAACTCCATGAGTTTTGAGATGAGTGCAACTTTTAATATTTTAATCTAAAGCTAATTTTTGGTACTACAAACAAGTTAATTTGAAAAAAAAATTCATTTTCGAAGAAATTTATTGTGAAAAATTAGCAAACGAATTTTTTAATTTTTTTCAAATCGACTTGTTTGTAGTACCAAAAATTAGCTTTATATTAAAATATTAAAAGTTGCATTCATCTCAAAACTCATGGAGTTGATTCGATTTTATAAATTGCATTTGAAGACATTGGATAGGGGCAGAATGAGATTACGCGCTAACGCGTCATCCACGGGAACCTTAACCAGATTTATAACTTTTTTATGTACGAAAACATGTTCGACGTCGAACTGATACAAATTATTGCACTTTAATTCTGTAAATTAGTTAATGACGATTTCAATACGACGAAAATGGGTGATTTTTTTAAAACCATTAAAACATTTTGCAACCATTTTTTTTAGCCTTAAATGCATTTGTGACTTCTGAACTATTCCCAAGTCGGGCGGTGTATATTCGAAAGAAAAAATATATTAACTGGGTAAATTATCAGGTTTAAATTCCAAATATATTATTCATCAAGAAAGGCGAGTTCTTTGTAACAAATGTCCAAAAATTAAACCCAGGACCCAACATTGAAGAATCTTAAATCTATTTTTCTTTTAAATGTTGTTTACAAATCTAATTTTTGGCGTCGCCCTGCTACATTTTTTACACGCGAGAAATATATTTTATTTCATGACAGTTTGGAGTGAGTGAAGGTTTACAAATGTTTAAATTTCGGAAATTTCGGAAGAATTGTATTTTTTGACAAACATGCACATTTCTCATGTCGCACTGATACATTTCCAAGTTGAGAAATGTTTCGCATCAAATTGGGCCAGATTCGGATGCGGTATTCTGCTCACTCAGAAACAAAACTGCGTTTTAAATTTTCCTGCAGGAAATGAAAATAGCATAAAAATAGCGATGACCTTCTAATTTTGAAGTTCTCTAAATCATAATTGCCCTAACCCGGGGTACCTCTTTCAGATTTTTAATCAACTTTATAACCTTTTTTACGCACAGGACACATTTTTGAAGTTGAGCTGGAACATTTCAAAATAGAGAATTATTTAGCAACGTGAATATGAAATTGGAAATTTGTAAGTTAAGAAAATTTATCACAATATTGGATAATAATTCAGATGCGGTGTTCTCCAAGAACCAAAACTGTATTGTATTTTACCAACGGAAAATTAAAATTGCATAAAAAATGCGTTAACATTACATAAAAACTGCATAAAAGATCAATATAAATAGAATCAAAATTGGATGAAAATTGTATAAAATTGCACAAAAATTTCATAAAAATTGCATAAATAGAATATAAATGATATAAAAATTGTATAAAAATTGCATAAAAATTGCATTAAATTTCTACTTCATGAATGATCGATTGACCAAAATTCACCAAATGCGATCTGTTAACCAAAATTATAACCCTTTTTATGTACGTATACATATTCGACGTCGAACTGATACATTTCAAAATCGAGGAATATTTAGGAGCGTGGATCAAATTGAAAATTCTAATTTAACTAATGCACCGTAAAATTGGAACGTATGCGGATTGTGTATGTTTTCTTGTCAACTAATTCTACATTATCTAGGAAGAAATGAAAATTTTGGCATTTTAATTCTGTATATTAGTCAATGCGATTTCAATAGAGGAAAATGGCTGATTTTTTTAAAACCATTAAAACATTTTCTATGTATGTATATGTATCTTTATGCATAAATAGCCAATAGCTCTTGCAAGTCAAAACATTTTGTAATCATTCTTTTAACCACTAAATACAAATAAAATAAAGTGCAATAAAAGAAGGGCGAGTTCTTCATAAAAAATATTTTAAAAAATACAACCCATGGGACGAAGAATCTTTAACTTGATTTTATTTTAACCCTTTCCTTCGTAACGATGGATATATCCGTCCCCGGATTTCGAACGTTGCTGCGGAACAATGGAAATATCCGTCGTCATAAACTTGGCGTTGTGACGGAACAGAGGATATTTCCATCCTAATTTTTAAGGCGTTGCGACGGAGCAACGGATTTATCCGTTGTCTCAAAATTCGGCATAGACACGGAAAGAAGGAAATATCCTTTATTTTGGTCTGTGACTTTATTGCGTAGTGAAGGATATTTCCTCTCATTGAAAAAATATTTTTTCCATGGATTTACACATCTTGAAAAAAATTCGGTTTTTAGCCCGAGTCAGGGGTTGTGTACCTGCTTTGTCCGGTGTGTCTCTGCCTGTCTGGTTATCAATAACTGTCATAAATCTATCCTATCGACTTTAAATTTTATACTATTACTTTGTCATTTTTAATTTTCCGAAATTTGAAGTTGATAGAATAAGTTTCAAGTAAGTCAAGACGCAAGACGGACGGATGGACAACACGGGTACATAAGTCCTGGGTCGGGCTAAAATGTCTCCATGATTACGTCATTTTTGAAGTAAAATGCCTCCACAGAAAGTTGAATAATTTTGGAAATATATCCATGGAACGTATCACTGAAATTTTCATTTGCTCCGTGATAAAGTTTGGTAATTCAAAAATTGCTACGCCACAAGCTATGGTTGTGAGGCGTTGCTATTCCACAGCAACGGGATATTTTTGAGAATTCTCTTACGAAGGAAAGGGTTAAATTGTGTTTAATGTAATTTTTGTCGTCTCCCTGCTTCATTTTCCGCAATGTGTTTCATTTGATCTGATATGGAAGGAGTGAAAGTTTAAAAACTTCTAATTTTCTGATCAGAAACGTCACAGGATACAATTTCCTTTCAGACGAAACAAATTTACAAAAATATGCCGTTATTTTGGACTTTATTTTAACTCAAATTTCAAAAAAGCTACAAAATTATTTTACTAAACATTGAAACTTTCTTTTTGTATGCAGGTTGCTTTTTTACTTAAATACACTTTTACCTGAATTGCAAAATGATAAAATCGAGCCTTATTTCTCTGCACATTAGTAGGTTAGATTACGATGGCATTGTATGCGGGTTTTGAGTTTGAATTTTTGCGTCTCAACTTTCCCTTCTTTCGTGTACTTTAAGGGGGATTTTGAAACCTGTTCATTTCCGTTCACTTTTTTGAAACAGGATTTTACTCAAAATTAGGAGGCTAAAATTTTGATTTTTTTCTTCCATGAGGAAATATTGCATTTTTACTTATTATTTTTTATCTATTTTATTTCCATTTTCACACGAAAGAAAAAATTCTAACCTCCAAAGTTTGAAAAAAGTAAAATCATAGAGTTTTACATCCACTCAAATCTTTATTTTTTTTAAAAATGGAGATACACAAGGTTCAAAATCGACATTGGAATATATTGAAGAAGGGAAAGCTGAGGCAGATTTTCGAACTCCAAATCCGCATATATACCCAAAAAATCTACTTGGAATACATCACACATCTGAAACTAATTTAGTATTAAATTTTATCTACAAATACGTTTTTTGGCGTCGCGCTGCGTCCTTTTCCCATTAGAGAAATATTTCATGGCATGACTGAATTTGAAATTTGCTCGTCTGACACGCAAATTTACGAGGAAGATGACCAAATTATACTAACAGTAAAACTTAAGGTTCAAAACCTTTCAATTTAATTTTAATTTACGTATTCGAAATAAACTTTGAAATATTTAAATTGGGACATATTTCACTAAAAATTGCAGATTTTGCGAGCCCGGCGTAGCCGGGTGAAGCAAAATCCTAATTTTGTGAGTCTTCCGAACACGGAAGACATCACGGAGAGACAGTTGGTAGTTGCTGAACCAGGTAT